GATAGAAGTGTAATAATAATTTACTCATTGTTGCAAGAGCCAATAAGATTTGAGTTTGATGGGGATTGGGCAAATTGATCTAAGGAACTGAAAGAGTATTAGCAAGCTCAGTGGTTAAGGATTTGAATAGAGCTCTTTATAGTCCAATCCTGAGGACACTTCCCTGGGAGTAAGCCCCCTTGGATAGACCTCAGTAGGATGTCTCTGTTAGACTGATGAGGAATTGTTATAGGAAGGGGATAAACAATTAAAGTATATGAGAGTCTGAAAATGTAATACAAGTTTCTGTGGAGTGCCTCCCCTATTGTATCACACAGACCTTGCAATAGCATTGTAGCTAACCCCACCTAAGAAACTTCTATGCTGTTTCTATAATTTCTAAAATGTACTTCACACCAACTGTGCATCTCCATTCCTTTCTAATTCCTCTCAACTATGTACAGCTTTCTATTTCGTGCTTCATTTGGACCGCTTTGCTTTCTCAGGTCCTAGACTCCTTCTTTTCTATAACCATGGATCTACATCCCCTTTTTCAACTCTCTAAAGTCAGAGCAGTTTGGCCAGTGGCAACCCTCTGCCTGTCCAGGAAGTTCAACTAAATACCACTAAAGGTTTTGTCTCCACTGCTACATCACTTAATGCATCACAATATAGGTTAATGTTCATGCTATAATTTATGATGCTTTAGTTTGGGAGATCTGTTTTCTTAGTCATATCAGTTGGTGCTATTTTCCCCCTGTAAATTCCTCTTCCATCCCAATGGACTCTGCTGCTCACATGTTGTCTGTCAATCCCCTCTTTATCCCACCCTTCCTCCAGTCTCCCTTCCCTTATATTGACCTCACAACAATGGCAATATCACCCAGCCTGATGAAGGGAGCTTTGACTCTTGGAAACTTATTCCCTAAAACTCTTGTTGGTCTCTAATCTGCTACTTGACTCAAATATAACTGTCCCAGTAAGTGTCATGCAAAATGTAGATCTGAACATGGGTCTCCTCAATCCATACTGGTCTTCATGCCATTGGTCCATCTACTTCAGCATTGTCTGCTCTGATCCAGGTGATCGCTAGAGATTCACACAGAGAAAGATCCTTTCCAACACCTGTTTTCTTAGACCTTCTCGGTTTAAACCTTTACCCTTTGGCACACAAAGCATGATTTCTCTACCATCAGTCCATCAGTGAAAACCTGTCACGAAAAAGTGTTCTCCCTATCTTGAGACCTAGGATACTTCTGGTTCTAAATAAACTTTCTTCTTGCCATCCATTTTTATGAACAATGTCGTTCAACTGCCTTATACTGAATCATACCCTTGTCTACTCAGACTGGCTGTGGTGGTACAGGATCTCAGGCTGAGGTCTTTCACATCACCTAAACTTGATCATTTTACCTGGAGATGCCAGGGATTGAACCAGTTTGGTGTAGTATTTAAGTGCGCGGACTCTAATCTGGGAGAACCGGGTTTTATTCCCCGCTCCTCCACTTGCACCTACTGGATGACCTTGGGCAAGCCATAGTTCTGGCACAGCTGTTCTTGAAAAAGAGCAGTTTCTGTCAGAGCTCTCTCAGCCCCACCTAGCTCACAGGATGTCTGTTGTGGGGAGGGGAAGGGGAAGGAGTTTATAAGCCGCTCTGAGACTCCCTTGGGTAGTGAAGGGTGGGGTATAAATCCAATCTCCATCTTCTTCTTCGCCTTCTTCGTCTTCTTTTTGCAAAGCAGAGGCTCTGCCACTGAGCCATGGCCCCTCCATCTTTCAGAGGCTGAATTTAAAAAATAAAATGCATGGTACCCTCCTGAGAACTTTGTGTTATCCCCTGTCCATTAGCACCAGCCTACTTTGAGAAACACTAGTAGTATTTTGTACAGGAATGAGACTGAAAAAGAAATTTGCAAGTGTTTGTGTCTTTGATAAGATTTACAGCAGAAGTTCAATTAAGAACATCTTGTTTATATAAAATGGCTCGATTTGTCTAAGACTAGGGTTTTTTTCTCCTCCTCCTTGACCCCTCCAAACAGGCTATCTTTCCAGCTCCCTATTCTGGCTACTTAATTCCTTGCACATCCTTTTTGTTTCTCTTCAGAAGTTCACAGTTGTCTCGTGTTCCCATGAGAGACACTAGAAATATGATCAATAATATTTGATATGCAGTTGTCTTCCAAATTCTAGGTTGTTTCTTTAAAGAAAGGTTTGAAGGGCAAACCATTGTGGTGGTAGAATCCAACCTCTGACAGCACTTCTGTTTTCCAGCTCTGGCCCCAGTCAGCCGTTTCCCACTAGACCACTCAGCGAGTCCCAGAATCGTTTGCTAGCCAATGAAAACCAGTGGCCAGAAGTCAGCTCGGAAGAAGAAAATGTTAAATCAGGTATTGAATGTTAATTTTGTCGTAATACAAAGAGTCCAACCATCTGGATTCCACAGAACATGCAAGAACTCTTGCACAAGCAGAAACACGAGAGTAATCACTAGGGATGGGCATGAACCAGAAAAATGCGGTCCGTGGCCAAACCATGAACTGAATCGAACTGGGAGGTTCATTCACGAACCGAACTGGTTTGTGGCTCTGCAAATCCCATTGAAAGGGACCGCAGTCCCTTTAAATGGGGTTTGTGGAAAGCTCAAAAAACATCTGAGTGCCAGGGAGCGACCTGGTGCCAAACTGAAAAAAAATCTCTACTTGCTCTCACGATAGGTCTTGCACTAACAGAACTGCATTAAGTAAAACTTCTCTTCCAATATCACATGGTGGCATCCAACCCAGTGTTCTGATTTTATTTTTAATCCTTGTAAAGATTTAGTCTTAGACGGGGGGCGGGGGAATCTTATATAAAGTAATGTAAGCAAAGAACTCAAGTGTTTTCACTCGTTTACCATGTAACTTGTGCCTTATACTGTTGTCCTTCTGTATTTTGGTGTAGATGTTAAAAAGCATATTATAGTTACATTGGAAAGCTGATCTTGGTTTCCATATCCAGCCCTCATAAGAAGAGGAAAGAATGGTAAGGTACACAAAATAATTTCTGCTTGGAAATAATAATTCATTGTAGCCTAACAAATAAATAAAATTGTCTTGAGCACAGTGAGCACATCACTGAGCACTTTAACTTTGATAAAATGGTTGTTTTTATGTGTTTAAATGTTTTATATTTGGCACATGGGGCCCTTGTTTGTTAGCCGCCCTGAGCCCGTTCGCGGGGAGGGCGGGATAAAAATATAATAAATAAATAAATAAATAAAATTGAGTGGAAAAAAAATTATAGGGTAGAAGCATGATTAAGCAATAGAGGTGGGCAAGAATATTGCCCTCTGCCTGCTATTTTTCTTAGACTGGCTAAAATGCAGTTCAGACTTATTTCCAGTCTGTACTTTGGCTTAGATGAATAAGCCTTGGGTTTCCATCCTTCTTCCCCTCACACACCACATTCCCTCCCTTCCTGTTTTACAGCATGATATTTTTCCATTCCATCTGAACCAGCAAACACCAGTTTCCAAGTGACCCCAATCCAGAATTGCAAACCATGGTCCGATCATATTGCAAAAGTCAAGTACAGCCCATAGTTTTCCAGTTCTGAAAAGGGAAAGAATTCGTGTATGGGACTGGGAGGAAGAGAAGTGAATGTGCAGGCTACCTGAGGCTCATTCATGTAATACCAGACCAAAGGTTAGCGATGCACATGAAACAATAGCTGCTGTTTGCTTTCACCACAGGGACCGAGACGTGGAGCTTCTTTTTACAGCTAGAGCTCCACCTGAAGTACCTTTGTGCCCAGTGCTTCTTCCTTAACATGGAGTAGCCACTATCAGCCTCCATGCAGCTGGGATTAGGGAAAAGAATTTCCACTTTTATTCACTCTTGACAAATCAACTGTTAGCGATAGAGCTGTCACGTAAGCAGATTTAAAGCAGTAGACAGTGGACTGCAGCAAGGAACATTCAAGAATACAAGACTGAACTGTTCTCAGATGACACTCACGGAACATAAACAGCTTCCATCTGGATAGAAATTAGTTTCTTATGCAATTTCTAGCTTGCCAGGCAGAGGCTGCATGGGTGGAAAGAAAATGGTGGCACAAGACGGTGCGTCCTTCAGTATTTTCTACAGTCCTTCCTTTAACATGGGCAGCAGGTCATAGAATGATACTTGCCTAGGTTTGCATGCAATGTAGGTAGCTTGGACTTGTCTGCTTTCTCATCTCTCTGTATATTCATCCAATATTACACTTAAACCAATTTTAACTTTTCTTCCTAATAGGTTTCTACAATACATTTGTGCTTGGATATTACTTAATTTTGTATGGAAGACACTGATATATCAATAGAACAGTGCAAGCATGTTAACAGGATATGAAAAATGAAATCCATGTACGGTGTACAATGGATGCTCATAAGCACTACTACAGAGCGGGAAGTTTGACTGATGCCTTAAGATTCTCGATGTGCATTTCGCAACATGGACAAGCCGCTACCAAAGGGCCAAATCCTGAAATGCCCTGAAAGGGTGCGCAAGACTCAATATGCAGAAACTATGCATTCCAGCTGTATTGCAATGGAGGGGACTAATTCTGCAAAAATCATGTGGAAGACGGTGCTGTGCCAGTGTTATGCAGAAGTTATTTTCATAGCAGTTCTCGGGGGGGGGGGGATGTCCAGTATACCAACATGGAACATGGCCATTAAACCTGCCCAGGGCAACTATGTGTGATCCAGATACCACCTGGTGGACTAGTGGCATGGTGCGGTTTTACTTCCTTCATCACCATTATCAACTAATGAGAGGAACTGGTAAGTGTCACTAAGAAGCCCACTGAAGATCCTGGCTTTTTAGTCCACTCTAATATTAAAGTCCTCTTCCTTCAGACTTCCTTTTTTCCAATATAATACATAATCAAACGAGCAAGGTTAATCAATTGCTTGTTTGTTTTCAGAATTTAGGCCCACTGTCAGTCCGGAGAATGAGTTCCCTCATTTTTCATTTGTCTTTTTTTAAAAAGCCAATATTTTAATTTCTTCACTGTTTGGTCTAAGCCGTGTAATTCATAACCCCGTGTAGGCATGTTTACCTGAATGTTTTTACCAGGTCTTCCTGACTGTTAGTCCTAAAATACAAATCCCATCTAAAGCTAGTAGGTAGCATGTTCTTAGATTTCTTTCAGGCCAAGTCCAGAGACCACACGCTTATTTCCTTTAAGAGAAGGGAAGCATGTTTATAGTATCCGATGTAGAAATAGATTCCACAAGGATCTTTCCCAGGAGTATTACTCAGATATGGTAGAGAAGGAGACACGGAAGGGAAAAGGATTATCTCACACTTGAATGCAGCCGCTTTGCTTCCTAGGATTCTAAGGCCTTTCCAACAATCTCATTGATTCTAGGTCCTTCTGACCTTGGGCACAAATCCTTATCTGAGCAAGTAATGTAATGTAACAGGAATGTAATCATGATGATCAGTTCACTAAGGGCACTGAGATATTAGAAGCATGACTGCTGGGGTGGGGGAGGGCAGGGGAGATACCTTTTTAGATAGTTATCTAGATATCCTGTCTTGAGGACTCTATATACCTCATGAATTAATTTTAAAATGTACAAAATTCAATTCTGGATGTAACAAGATAACTTATTTAATCTCTGTGAATACAGCCACCAAAAAGCCAAACCAAATAGATTTGCCAGAAGGAGCAGTATTGGGAACTTTTGTCTTACATATCACCATTCTAAGATCCCCCCCCCCCAATGAAGGTGCTTCTTGGTTAATCCTAAAGATCACAGGAGAGCATGGGAGTGGAAAGGGCAACAGTCCATTAAGGAAGGCAGCTTAGTTCAAAACTATGGTGTGAACTGTGTCTGGAACTGTGGTGTGAACTGTGTCTGGAAACAGGAAGCTAGTACAGATAGTGAAGTGTGAGTGTAACAGGCTTGCAACAAGCCATCTGTTTGTTTCACTCCCGAGCTCACTTCAGATGTCAGGACAAGCTGCAGTTAAACTGTGATCAGTCACAACCAGTTTATTCCTTTATTCACATGCATTCTTCCCACCTCCTCTACTGTACGAAGTTTGACCAAACTGATACAAGCAGGTGATAGAAGCAGGATTTGTATGGAGTGAACAAATTCCAATTCAACAAGATTCCTGCAATTTTGATGTCCCAAGTGAACTGGAGCTTGATCAGGCCAGAAAGGTAAACTCCCATGCACTAGAGGTAAGAGGAGTGAGGGGCACACACAAACACAGAAACAAACCTGTGTTAGTGTCCAGTCGGAGGTTAGCCTGTGATTTCACAGCTACCTTATAGTCTTCTGAGCCAACTCCATACAGAGTATGAATATGCAGATTTCAAGTGTGGAATACATAAGTCATCAGATTCACATCTACCAGCCAAAATGGGGGGGGGAACCTTGTGTACATTATTTCTACTTGAAAAATCATAGTAATAGTGATAGATTTAGGCGTGTGCCAAGGCCTTCATCTTATGGGACAACCTACTTCTGCCTCTCCTTTGCCCCTTTCAAAGTTGCTAGCCATGTAGGCTATTTAGTTTTAGCTTCCTTTCCACCACCACCACCCCAGAATTTTGCTGTTTCTGCTCAGATAAAACTGGAAAAGAAACAATTTGACTTTCTTTTATGATTTAATTGTAACATTTGTACCAATACCAAAATGAAAAGGCATTGCAGTGATGAAAATGTAAAAGGTATTCACAAAACCGGGGGTATAAAGATAAGATTCAGCTTGCTGTTCCTGTTGGATCCTCATAGACTCTAATGAGCTGCAGGACCTCAGCCAGGTCAAAAATGTGGCCTGCTGAGAGTGCATCTCCAAAGGTCATATATCGTAACAGAAGGAAAGACAACGTGGACCTCTGCCGTAAGCTGGGTCTTTCTTTACTACTGTAACTCATTTCCATTCCCATCCTTAAGCAATCTCGTTAGAGAGCAGCTCAGCAGCCTTGAAGCCTAACTTCACAATCATGTAAGAATGATCCTTCCAATTGATTCTTTGTCGTACATCATCAGAATCCAACACAGCAGTGCTCTGGGTAAACAAGGAGCAATTGTTTTGCACTGAAATCTGCAAATGCAAGTAGTAGTCACGTGGCACCTTTATGCTAACAACGTCTTAGTGAGCCAGCTTTGTCAGATGCCTGAAGTAGGCGGTTTCCTAAAAAGCTGTGCCCCAAGACTATTTGTTGTTTTTTGCACCAGACTAGCTGTCCCTCCAAATCTGCAAGGAAATTGGCTGCTTAGCAGTCCTCCTAGTTGCTTTCATTATAGGTTTCTGCAGCTGTATCCACCCTGACATTTTTATTTTTCCTTCAACTTGGCATAACTATACACTGGCAGTCTCTTAATGGCCCCTCCCCAAACCACATAAAAATCAGTATGCTTTGTCAGTCCTCTTACTCAATATGATTTAGTTATATTGAAAATAGCTCTAAATTGACTTAAGGGCATATACACCAATTCTTGAGTGACTTCTAGTTCACGATCAGCATTCAGTTGTTCAGCATGTGGTTTAGCTTACAACAAATTGCTTACACCTCTGAAGCTTCAGCTAGCAGTTTAGAAGGCCTGAGGGTGACTGTGCATCATCCGGATGGTATTGGCAGAAACATAAAATAGGATTTAAATTTGGAAGACAAAATTCTGATATCAAATTCTCTGGTGTGTAATTATTTTGTTTTATTAAACTCTTACAAATTAAAAACCTAGATGGAAAAGGGGAAATCTGGCCCCCTTTCCAAACCTTAACCAATGCAGCATTTATATGAAATTCCATTTTTGCATGATGTAAAATAGCATTTTTTCACAATTTTACCGTAAAATGAGAGAGGAGCCTTGGTGACCTATCAGACCTTGTGTCAAACCATGCAGGATGCAAAAGATCCCTGATTAGGCCTTCTCCTGGGTTAGGCCCAGGACTGCTTTGAAGATAGAGTTGTCAATATGAGATATTTAACCCTTTCCTCCCATGCCTCTTAAATAATTGATGGATGGGCTGACTGCTCTCAGTGCTGAAATTGACATCTGTCCTGTTGCTCAGGTACTAGGATTTGACCCCATTCCCTGCACAAAACAGCCAGTGCTTTGGCTTAAGTACAATGAGGAAAGCTCTTACATGGCACATAAGCAACTTGCAGGTGCTTCTGTAGTCCATGTAACAACAGAGGTGATGAGGCTACTGCTGATTTCTAAAGTCCCATCATAAGCCCTGCATAGTCATCTTGTACCATCTAGGAGCTGTAACAAAAGGATTGCCTCTGATATATAGTAGGGTGGAGCTGTCCTGCTCTGCCCTCTTTAAGAGTGCCTCAGCCTGTACTTCACCAGCTTCAAAGGGGACAGGATGGGACTAAGTAAATCTCGGGAGCCAAACTATACACTATGTCAACTACAGCAAATTTCTTTTTATGGTATCACATTGTTACATATGCAAGTTACATAAAATTAGTGGGTAACAGGGTTCTCTTTGTAATGTGTACATAGGATTAAAGGCCCATATTCACTTTTATGAATATTAGGTGTCCAGATTATCAGAATTATGCATTTCTCTCTTTTCAGTCCTGTTGGGGTCACTGAAAACTCCACTGTCAATGTTTAATATTTTAGTTTGTTCTGCAGTCCTTAAACCACTATGAAAAGATTCCGTTAAAAATTAATGAAATTACCAGACTAATTGTGTATTAGATCAACAGTGGACTTTTAAAAAAGAGTACCTAAAATACTTATTGCATGGACATTTTGCCAGTCACCCTAAATGATACCAAAGAGTAGAATATAAAGTTTTGTTATACTGAAATACACATTTACAGGCTTAACTTCAATGCTTTACCTTCAAAGCATTTTTCTGGTGAATGAGGCTAGTATCAACAGAGCAATTTGAGGATCATACAGTATATTTACAAAACAGCCTGTTGTACACTTTATTTTATAGATGCCTCTAAAAATCCTTCTCCATACAGCAATTGTTAAACTGCATTTCTGTTGAAAGTATTGAGTTAGTCAAATGCCCAAGAGGCTCTTTATATGAGATACCAGCCAAAATGCACTAAATGAAGTTGTATCATAGCCACCTAACAATACATCCTCTGCATCAATGTAGATGCCCAGTTTATTTCCCAGATATTATATTACTTGAATCTTGTAAATAGTAAGAAGAGTCTGACCATGTTTACAAAATTACTGAAGATCATTCAGCAAACAGTGAGATAAATGTACAGTAATGTTAACATGTTAAGATGTTGTCAGGATCCTCTTTGTTTTGACACCAAAGAGCTAGTAGCCTACACATTTTATATGGTTTGCGTTATGTTCCAATTCTGGGATTACACAAAGACTGGTCTCTAGTAAGTAGTTTAAGGATTGCAGCCTTTACCTTAATCCTAAATCTCTTTACTTGGAAGTCCATACAGTGGATTTTCATGTACATGTTTAAGGATTGCGGGTGTAGCAAACAGATAATCTAGTTTCATCACTTCCCCCAGTGTAAAATTCCATAACCACAGAATGAACATCCCTGGTTTAATTTCTAGGACTGCTTCAACCTGCGTGTTTACCAGTGCACACATCAGATGCAATACATTGCACTGTATTTCTAGTAAGGTGTCTGCGAGTATTTTATTTAACTATCAGTATCCTAATTGTACTAAGTAAAGTTGCAAGTATTCAATTTAAATTGTGAGGTTAGAGGATACATAATGTGAATAACATCTTTTTATGTTGCCTATAGGAATATTCCTATGCACAAAAACATTGCAATTAATAGTTTAATACTTCAAAGTGACTTTTTAAATGGGCTTTTATAAATACACAAGTACACAGATCACTTTGCCTGAAACTTTCTTACTTTTAATTGTACCTTGTAATATCCTCATGTATGTTTTCCAGCAATGTAATAATTTTAGATCATGTTGAATATTTTGTAAATCAAAGTGCAGACTTCCATTCATATCTTAATTATGACTCATGACCAAGGGAAAATGCATAATCTTTAAGCCCTTCGTTGCCAAAGTGGTGATACATTAATGGATTATGACACAACGAATGCAAAAGAAACTAAATAAATACCTTAAATAAGTTCTTTGTAGTGTATTTCTCAATACTGGAAGTGGGAAAGATTTAAAAGGTTAATTGAAATAGCATAATGGGGAACCATGGGTTAGAGGGACATCGTGCAAAGAAATATTTTAAAATTTGGAACCTTGGGGTCTGCAAGCCCAACCTAAATAATAGCAACAGCCAGAAGGAAGACATGACAGCTGAAGGAACCATCACCATTATTGGAACGTATCTTCGACTCCCGTCCCATGAGTGGTGTGAATAGAGTAATATGGTGCGCCCTTGATAGGTGATCCTTCTAATTAAGTTGTTATCCATTGAAACCAGTAGGCACCCAGTATAAGACAAAAGGAAGCGCCTGTCAAACCTCAACCAACCTACAAATGTGTTACAAGCTAACAACGGCTTTGAAAACTTAGACTATACAAAAGAATAGGTCCAGCAAAAGCTGGTAGCTACCACACCAAGTCATATACCAGATGCTGGGGATTAATAGGGATAGCCCTTATTCCTACACAGATGTGATGTCTCATGTTGTCTTTTGGTATCTCACCCACTAGATTGTAAAATCTTCGGAGCAGGAACCTGTTCTCCCCCCCCCCCTTCAAATGTTAGGACTACACTGGAAATTAGCAGTAATATGTATTTTTAAAATGCCCAAATTGTAGTGCTCCCAATATATCTGGCTTCCAAACTGAATATTGAACTATGTGAGCCACTGGCAACTCATGTTCTTATTTTCACAATTGAAGGAAAATGTTGACAAAGCTCAAGCAGTTGTTCAGTACAAACTATAAGAAGAGTTGGTTTTTATACCCCACTTTTCCCTAAGGAGTCTCCAAGCAACTTAAGTCGCCTTCCCTTCTCCCCCCCCCCCCCAATTTCCCTATGAAGAAAGGTTAAAGCACTTGGGGCTCTTTAGCTTGGAGAAATGACGGTTAAGGGGTGACATGATCGAGGTTTGTAAGATTATGCATGGGATAAAGCAGGTAGAGAGAAATAAGTTCTTTTCTCCCTTTCTCACAATACAAGAACTCGTGGGCACTCAGTGAAATTCCTGAGCAGTCAGGTTAGAACAGATAAAAGGAAGTACTACTTCACCCAAAGTGTGATTAACACATGGAATTCACTGCCACAGGAGGTGGTAGCGGCTAGAAGCATGGATAGCTTCAAGAGGGAATTAGAAAAACATATGGAGCAGAGATCCATCAGTGGCTATTAGCCACAAGGTATAGATAGGAACTCTGGGGCAAGTGATGATCTGTATTCTTGGTGCTTGGTGGGGACAACAGTGGGAGGGCTTCTAGTGTCCTAGCCCCACTGATGGACCTCCTGAGGGCACCTGGTATTTGTGGCCACTGTGTGACAGAATGCTGGACTGGATGGGCCACTGGCCTGATCCAACATTGGCTTCTCTTATGTTCTTATGACTGGCCCAAGGTCACCCAGCTGGCTTCATGTGGAGGAGTGGGGAATCAAACTTGGTTCTCCAGATTAGAGTCCTCCACTCTTGGCCACTGCACCATGCTAGCTTACTAAGAGTGCTGGCCAAGGGGAGAAACTCACAATTGAAAATAAGGTATTCAGATGTTTAAAGACCTGAATACAACGTAAGAGCATTTAAGCATTTAAGTTAGAATGACCATCCAAATCAAAATATTTTTAAGTCACTGTTTTTATGCAGCCGTTTAAAGACCTTGGAGAAAAACAGTAGGAAGTGGATAATTATTTAGTATTGTAGGAATGTCAAATATTAAGGATAAGAACAATCAGAATATCGGGGAGTTTTCCTTCTTAGAATCTTTCCCAATAACCTTTATTCTCACCCACCCCAACTCCTAACACATGTGACCCAATATTACACAGAAGCTTCCTGTTTTACAAATAAACAGAGGGCCACATGGGTACATAATATGTGTACAACCAGACTTTGCTGTTTTATGGATATTAAAGGGCTTGGGTCAGGTAGCTTGTGCAAATGCTTTGCTAGGGCAAGTGACTTCAACCTGGAATGTGGGGAAAAAATGCCCCAAAGGTGGGGGGCTGCATCACTTCCTTAACCTCCTATTCCAGTGTTTTTAGAGATCACCTGCTTTATGCAGTCCCCATTTTGTTGTTCAGAGAATGCCAACCTGACTACTTCTTCCATGGGAAGATATTCAGTAAGCATACTACTAAAGTTTTGGGAAGTAAAAAATGCATAACTTGACAAAAAGTATTCTTTTTTTGACAAAAAGTCCATAATTTGACAAAAAGTATTCATGCAACGAACATGAAATTAAGCAAACTCCAGAGAACGGCAGAAGACAGGAGGGCCAAGCGTGATGTGGTCCATGGGGTCGTGAAGAGTCAGACTCGACTGTGCAACTGAACAACGACAACAATTCTTCACAGTGTTGATTAAATAAGAGACTCATAATTAAAGAACAAATTATTTGTTAACAAGCTTTACTGTAACTGATTACTGTTGCTGGACATGGATATAAACAGTCCAACTGATCAGAGAACAGAGTTCAATAAACGGGTATTTAAGAGCTTTCCCATTTCTTGGTCACATTAAGATGGTTGAGGTGTTCTGTGGCATACTTATGCTCAGGGAAATTAGATGTTAATGCCGCTCTCCTTGCTTCTCGGATTTCCTGCCAACGCTCTTCATTATGGCGATACTCCTGCTCTCGAGTCATGTATGGCCGGCTCAGCCAATATTCATTTTCAGCTTCAATTTCCAACCTTTTAATCATCCTGAGCTTCATTCCCAAAGAAACAAACCTTGGCCGTCTGTGTTTGCCAATCCATTGTCTCCCAGGAATTCTGTTTCGAAGCAGCGCCACAGTGAGAAACATTCCTTTAAAAGTAAAAGATGACATTTGATGTCTTGAAAATTAATAGCAGCAAGTGAATATTCTTTTAGTTAGCAACTCAAGCTTAAAGAGATGCACTAGGCACTGGTGGAGATGGATTAGAAAATTCAACTTCTAGCTATAAACACACCTGTATCCTGTTTTATCCCTATCAGGGAATCCAGCAGGTACATCTTAACTGGGCAGAGCTAATACTCCTTCACCAATGGCCAAGCACCCTGTCCCAAGTTCTCTGTGGATTGTACAGAACTTGAGGGAGCAAATGAGTGTTCTCTCACTTTGAGCTAGGTCTGTGGAATCAAGCATGCCAAAGGATGGATCTTTTCTTACTTCATACCAGACAATGCAGGTCCTTCTCATTGTTTCCCTATTGCTTACGTATCCATGTGCAGTGGGAACGGATACAGGCTGCGTCTAAATTCTCACTGCGGTGATGATTCTGTTTCTGAATGGACCACTTCGGTCTGCAAGTAGGGGACAACATGACAATGCATACAAAAATAACCCTGCACAGAAAATTAGATGTCAGCAAGAAAGGTTCTGCTTAGCTTTCTCCCTGCCACATCTGTGGAGGAACTGGTGTATGTGGAATAAACAGCAGAGCCAGAATGGTGTGCCGGTTAAGGTATCAGACCAGTATCTGGGAGACTCAGGTCTGAATCCCTAGTCTGCCATGGAGGTTTGCTGGCTGAATCCAGAACCAGGTATACCATCTCAGTGACAAATAGGCCTGTCCTAACTGTACCAGATAAACCTCTCTAAGCAGCTAACTGACCATAAAGGGCAGAAAGACTGTCTAACCAAACCTCATGTTAAAAAAACCCTCTTATCTAGGACAACATGAGTATTCCATAATAACTCAAGCAGCAGTTTCGCTATGCTATGTGACAAGAAAGCAGAAGAGAAAACTGAATGCAGGTGCATACTTTCTCCCTCATGGGAATGCAAAGGATGTAAAGAGATAGGGATTTCAACCTCAACTCCCAATTACAATCCAGCCACATGAATCTGGAGTATTAGGAGAATGATCTTGTAAGGCTAAGACACCTGTACGAGATGCATGATTTTTATAAGAATCTGTGTAGCTTGTTTTATTTATTCTGACCTTTTAGGAACAAGGTGGGCCAAGCAGAAACTAAAAAAACAAAAGACTGGTCTTGTCTATACAAGCATAAATTCCACTGGATTTACTTTTTGCCTGAATAAGAATCAAGCTGCACAATCCACACTACTAGCACAGATGTCAGCTCAACTTTTCCCTCCAATGGGGCTGGCAGAGTCTCCTCTAGGCCAAAGCCTCTGAACAAAGCCACAATTTAGGCAGTACTTTTTGGCATAAGTTTCCATCAGCTTGAGGTCCTAGCATAGAAAATTTAATGTATACAGAGGCCAAAATTCAATATAATCAAATTATTTAATCCCACTGATTCAACAGTTTTAACTCTGTTGGATTGGGGCCAGAGTGTTTCATTTCAGTAAATCATAAATGCTTGGTGGGGGAAGAGAGGCTTCAATCTCATATGAAGATATGCAGAACTATGTATTATCTGATATTTTAGATGTAAAAGGGATACCATTATAACACACCTGTTTTCTCTAAACAGTAAACTAACCATGACAGTTTTCCTTTGAAATGTACAAATGTTTAATCCCACAATGGATCTAGTTGAATCAATAACAGATTATTTGTCACACAAAAACAAGGAGGGGGGAAGAGCTGGAAAGAAAACAAATTAACTATTGAGAGTAATTTACCATCAACATCTATGAGAAAATAGGGGCAATTACAGAACATACAGTGATGACATGAACCTAGCTGAGCATCTGGCTGCACTTAAATGAAACTGACTGCAGGGACAGCTGCAACAAATGGCAACTAGGATGATACAGCAGTTATAGTGTTGGACTAAGATATTATGGAACCCGGTTCAAAACCTTGCACTACCAGGAAACTTGCTGGGTGACCCTGGAGCAGCTCCTATCTCTTACAACAGGGCTGCCGGGAGGTCTAAACAGCAGAGAGGAAGCCACTGTATGCCACTCTGAGCTCCTTAGAGGAAGACAAGATAGAGATGTACTAACTCAATAAATACTAGAACAAATTTAGAAACCAATGGCACCTTTCAGACCAAAGTCTGATTCAAGGTATGAGCTTTCATGTGCTCTCACACATTCTCAGATACACAGAAATGGAAGATAGATTCAGGTAGGTAGCCATGTTGGTCTGAAGCAGCAGAACAAAGCAATGGAAGGTTAATAGTTCAAACTTATAGACAAAGAATAAACAGTAAATTAGCATGTAACATGGTGAAGATGTTTTAAGATATGCAGAGACATGCTAATTTGCTGTTCAGCCTCTGTCTGTAAGTTTGAACTGTTACCTTCCATTTCAATGTATCTGAGGTAGTCTGCATGCACACGAAAGTTCATACCTTGAATAAAACTTTGTTGGTCTTAAAGGTGCCACTGGACTCCAGGCCTGTAGCTACAGTGGGGCTTTCAGGGGCTCTGCCCCCTTTCTTAAAGGCACAGTCCCATAAGAATTTCTTCTGTAAATGCTTTTTTCCAATTATTTTAAAACATTCTTAAAAGGTGTATGCTCCTTTAAGCAGAGTGGGGTGCTGTAGTTGACTAATGCCTGCACTGAGCAAGGGGGTTGGAGTAGGCAACTTCTAGGATCCCTTCTAACTCTGTTTCTGCCTAAGTGTTAACTTTCTTGACTACAGAAGTCATCACCCACACCTGCCAGCTCATTATCAGAATTGTTGCTTAGGCTGGCAGAAGTGATTAACTTTCAGCAACTGAGAACTGTCATCTAAACTGGTTGACAGTTTGCAATTTAGAGACTTATCCTAGTAACAGCTTTCTATTGACTAAATGGTTAAGACTCTGTCTCGAAGCTCTCTTCAACTTCCACCCTGCTGCTATGTAGTGAGAAGAATAGCCAGGTAGGTTTTTTGTTTTGGTTTGCATTCCTTGCTGGACTGTATACGTTCTTTCCCTCATCTATGTGTTGTTTGTCCTTTGTTTTGTAAATAAAAGTTTTATGTGTTTTTATACAAATTGGAGAGTTTACTGGCCAAACCCAGATAAGTATTTCCAGTGCCAGCCTACCATATACCAGAAAAATTATTCTCCTTTCACCCCCTTTCTCAGCCTGCTTTTGCCACACTCTGGGGCTAAGATTTGCAGAAGCCTCTATGCTTTGATTTTAAAAGGCTTGATTCCACAGTAGCTAATCCTCAGAATTCTGGCTTTTCTTTCTCTGCTGAGAACTGCAGCCCCACCCCAAAAGAAAAAAATTGGCCCCGAAAGCCACAAAATCCTGGCTACTGGCGTGTTGGATTCTAATTTTGTTCTACTGCTTCAGACCAACACAGCTGCCCACCTGAAACTATCAATAAATGCTAGAATCATATGACCCTGACCTGATTCACTGAGGAACTTCTTGGCCCTGGTCACACGGGAGGGTTTGGCCCAAAAGAGGGATGGATCGGGGGCGCAGCAAACAGGCGCGATCCCACCGCAACATCTGGGAATCGGCGCGCACCCGTTCCCAATCCGTCCCTTCAGAACGAAAATGCAGTGCAAAAAAGAACCTACTAACTGGTAGGACTTACCTGAAGCACCGCAGCAAGCGCGGGCATGAGATCGCCGGCGCGCTTGTCTGCAGGAGCAATCGAGGCTCCCGGCCGAACTGCGCACACGCACACATGCGCAGTTTGGCTGCCTCGCTCTCCTTTCAGTGGCGGGGAGGAACTGCGTGGGGGCTCAGGGGGTCTGTGTGATCCCGCCACCACGGGTCTGTTTTGGTGCGGCTTTGAAAAGCCGCACTTTGGCCGTACTTCTCCCCCACACACACACACTTGAGCTCTTTGCAAAAACAGGTAATTTAAAACTAATATTTATTAGTTTTAAATTACCTGTTTTTGCAAAGAGCTCAAGTGTGTGTGTGTGGGGGAGAAGTACGGCCAAAGTGCGGCTTTTCAAAGCCGCACCAAAACAGACACGTGGTGGCGGGATCACACAGATCCCCTGAGCCCCCCCGCAGTTCCTCCCCGCCACTGAAAGGAGAGCGAGGCAGCCAAACTGCGCATGTGTCAAACTGCCTCGATTGCTCCTGCAGACGAGCGCGCCGGCGATCTCATGGCCGCGCTTGCTGCGGTGCTTCAGGTAAGTCCTACCAGTTAGTAGGTTCTTTTTTGCACTGCATTTTCGTTCTGAAGGGACGGATCGGGAACGGGTGCGCGAACAGGTAATTTAAAACTAATAAATATTAGTTTTAAATTACCTGTTTTTGCAAAGAGCTCAAGTCGTATTCCCCAATTCCATCCTCACAACAACCTTGTGAAGTAATACAACCAATTTAGAGTCCAATGGCACCTTATTCCTTATTCAAGGTATGAGCTTTCGTGTGCACGCACCCTTTACCAAATACGGATCTACCTTGTGAAGTAAGTTAAAGAGGCGGTGAATGGTCTGAAAATTATATAATGGGTAAAGGGGGGTTTGAACCAAGAGTCCCTCGGTGGTAGGGAATATTCTAACGATTTATCTTTGCAATGGCTAACTTCCTTGCTCTTTACACTTAACACCGCCAGCCTATGGCCTACGAGATTTTTAATAAGAAAATGCGAGGGAGCAAATAACGCCATGCCAGGCTGGATCCAGCCCGTAGCCTACGCAACACACTGAAGGCAGCTCCATCCCCACCACCATTTCCATGTGACAGCGAGGACTACCACTAGGGAAGGCGGGAAAGGAATCCAGTCGCCTCTCGTCCTTCCTTTCATCCACTCCAGCTCCCACAGGGGCCCTTCTTCGAGAACTCACCGAATACCAAACGGCCCGCCGCCTCCCCAGCAGCAGCCCTGGAGGATTCAAGATGGCGCCGCCCGACAAGAACCCGCTCGGTTTGCTGCTCTCGCGAGGCCGCCTGCGCGCTTGCTGGAATGACCAATCGGGGTCTTTGTTGTTGAGAGGGATTCAAAGCGCGAGGCGGGACGCTGTAAGGAGGAAACGGCTGTTGCTGGAGCGGGTGGGGCGCGCGCGGTCGGGCTTGGGGGGGACTGGCAGAGTGGGCTTCTCCCGCTCCCCTCTTTCGGTGTAGGGTTGTTGGGGAGGTAGGGCTCGTAATTCTTGTTCATTTGCGTGGAGGTAAACGGGGAACACTTACTAGAAGCTCACCGTGTGTGTGTGTGTCAGGTAGGTTTCTTGTCCTCCTCCTTTATACTGTATTGTTTCCTGGGTGTATTGTATTGTTTGTGTTTCATCGTGCTCTGAAATCGAGGTTGTGTGATATACTATTTCTGTTTCCTTTTCTTTTTAATGTGAAATCCGGTTTTATTGCATGGATCGTTACATGCTGTCTTTATTGTTGTTTCCTATAGCTCCTCCTTGAGTTTCAGTAAGAAAAGGTATAGGGTTAAATGACGAATGAAGAAGACAAACTAAGGACAAGTTTATCCGGGCTTGTTGCCCGTGATAGCTAAATAAAGGCAGTACAGTTTTGTGCGTTTCTGTTGTTCTCCCTTCTCTCTGTTTCCTCCTCAAACCAATTTAGCAACGGGCAGCTCAATAAGCAGAAGCCTAGTGATTCTAGCATGAACTTTCCTGAATCAAAGCTCACTTCTTCAAATGCTAACAGAGGTTTCCCATGGCTGTTTAGAGTCAAGAAAATGGTCCGGAAGGCTTAAACCAGTCCCCCCCCCCTTGTGCCATAGATCTGATCTGGAATGCCTCAGGTTGCCAACTCTGGGTTGAGAAATTCCTGGAGCTTTGGTTGTGGGGTTTGAGGAAGGACTTTAATGGGGTATTATGCCATAGAGTCCTTCCTCAAAGCAGCCGTTTTCTCCAGTGGGGCTGGTCTATGTGGTCTGGCACCCCTAGTTGGTATGCCTGATGGCCCATTTTGGGAAGGGGAAATCAGTAGGAGCTGTGGGGATACACAACTGTTTTAGCATTAGATAGCAGGCACCGGAGGTTTAAAAAAGGAATGCTACCTTTTAATGCCTGACGGAAAGTTGGCCGCTATCGTAAGTAGGCCGTAGACTGGAAGACCGGACTCTGATCCAGTACAACAGCTGTACTTAAATTGTCATTACTTATAGAAGCCCGCAGACTCTACATGCATAAAATGTACAGTCAATGTCGTAACGTCTGTTGATGGTATTATCAGTCCTCAACAATAGCCCAGCTATCGGTTACGGGGTTGAACATTGTGACTTTTGCTAAGAATCTTGTTCAGATGGAGCATACGCTTAGTCTTCCAGTAGCGGAGAGGCAGGGGTTGTGATGCAATGGTGGTCTTAAATCTAGAGGTGAAACCTTGTTAGGTTATTGCACCAAAATTAAACAGTGGTACTGCAAGAAGTCAATCCTAAAAGAAATCAACCCTGACTGTTCCCTGGAAGGCCAGATACTGAAGCTGTGGCCACCAAATGAGAAGGGAGCACTCACTGGAGAAGACCCTGATGCTGGGAAAGATTGAATGTCAAAGAAGAAGGGGACGGCAAAGGATGAGATGGTTAGACAGTGTTATTGAGGCAATGAACATGAATTTAAGCAAACTTCGAAGTACGACGGAAGACAGGAGGACCTGGCGTGATGTGGTCCATGGGGTCGCGAAGAGTCGGACTCGACTGTGCAACTGAACAAAACCACCTGTTTAATTTTGTATATTCTGGCATCAGCTTTTGTAGGAGAGAGCCATAAGGCAGAGTGTGAAGCGGTTCCCCTCACTTCAGATATGCAAGGGTTGGTGGGGAAAGACAGCCCTGCATACTCAGAAGCAATCTGATAATTCTGAAGGTTGTTGTTACATACAATATAGCTATTGATATTATATGTGTGTGCGTGTGTGTGCAGTAGAGCATAATGCTTATAGTGGCTCTTATGATTGATGACTGAGTCTCCATTAGCCTCAGAAAGTACCACTGGTATAGCATGAAAAGTCTGAGGACTTTTTGTAATTTTTCCAATGGAAAATTAGGAAGATTTGGGGAGGAGTGGGGGGAAAGACTTTATGAATTGTGAGGGGGCGAGTGAAATGTGCTGAGATTGCATAGGGTGCAGATGGTTGCAGCTATGTCTCACTTTAATATTAGGTATATGCCATTTAGTACAGTTTTATACGCTGAACCAGGGGTCATTTCCTGCAGGAGCGCACAGGAATGGAGCTCTGGCAGTAAAGAGTCCAGGGGGCGGGCACATGCAACAAGCCCCGCCCCCTGCTCCCAGCAGCCCTGGGCCACAAGAATCTGCGCGGTCCCCGTCCCCCCCATAGCTAGCAATCTAGAACAGTCCAGTGGAGCCTGAGCAGTGGGTATTGCCTTCTGACACACTTCCGGTGATACCAGGGGGTGTGGCATATGCAAATAAGTTATGCTAATGAGTTGTGCTAATGAGCTCCTGCACCTCTTTTTCTACAAAATGTGAATTTTGTTAAAGCAGAAAAAAAATTAGCTAGGTTTGAAAGGAAAGTAAGTAGTGCATATATTTCAGTTTTCCTAACATTTCTTTCGGGGGGGGGGGGGGTCGCAGTTAATTTCCATGGCTTCAGAAATTTCCGGAAGTGTTACATCTCTCTTTAAAAGTAAAAAATAATTTCTTGTGTTCATTGATTTAGATAAGATTGAAGATTAGCTCTGAAGGAGGCATGTTCCATCATGTTTAAAAACTATTTTGCTTTCAGTTACCATAAGTTAGTATAAGGTCTGATCAGTTTAGGAATTATTGTTATAGGTAACCTTGTGGCAAGAATGAATCCCACAGCTGACTGGTAGAAAATAGCAATCGCCTACCAAGCTCAGGCACAGTTTGTGGATGTCTGTCTGGCTAAGCTATGTGCAGCTCAGGCCGGTACAGGGCCGGAATGGATTCAGTGGGATCTTCTGTTTTTCAAACTTCAGAAAAACCAACTTGTACTTAAATACTTCCCGTTATAATAATTCCCTATGTTGCCAGTTACTGGAAGTTTGCTCTGATGGCAATAGCAATAAAACACTGTGTTCTGTAGGGTTTCCTCCAGCATGGATCTAACAGGAAGTTTCTTCAGTAAACTGCGAGCCTTAGTGACCACTTTGGAGAGACAGGCTGAGCAGCTGAAGCAAGCTTCTCGTGCAGATGAAACCGGTAAGAATGGAGTATAAATAGCAGTGAAATGTGAGGTTGGTGGCTTGGTTCTGTGGAATCCTCTAGTATGAATACATGGGCTTTTTCTTGCTGTTCTTTGACTGTGCACAAGCTATACAATGAACTGTTGTAAAATAGAACATCTTGTGAACAGATGCTAGCCATGATCCCAAGAAATAGTTGCCTTGGTTTAAAGAGCTATAACCAACTTCCACCAGCCTGGGACTTTTGATTCGAGGGATGTCCTTTCAGTCCTAGGCACACATAAGGCTTAATTCTGGCTTGCTGTCCATAACCACGGGCTAAGTATTCTTTTGATGGACAGCAAACCAAGATTCGAAAATGTTTGGAGCAGATTTGCAGACCGTGATCAAATGCTGCAGTTTGGTGTAGTGGTTAAGTGTGCGGGCTCTAATCTGGGAGAACCGGGTTTGATTCCCCACTCCTCCACTTGCACCTGCTGATGTGACCTTGGGTCAGTCACAAGCTCTGGCTGGCACAGCTGTCCTTGAAAAAGAGCAGTTTGTGTCAGAGTTCTCTCAGCCCCACCCACCTCACAGGGTGTCTGTTGTGGGGAGGGGAAGGGAAAGGAGTTTGTAAGCCGCTCTGAGACTCCAAGTGAAGGGCAGGGTATAAATCCAATCTCCTCTCCTCTTCCTCCATTTGCACTTAGCAAACCAAGGCTTCCAAGGCAGTTTCCCTGTCTTTCTCTAGTCTCCTGTTAGGGAGAGGGTTTAGTTTAGCAAACTCGACTATAACTTCATTGCATATTTTTGGATTTGAACTAAGTTGTTAAGGCAAAATTCAGATGGAATGACAAAAACCCTGGGACTGGCTCTACTTGAATGAGATGTGGCTTGTTCCCAACAAACCATAGTTTGCTGATTCTGATGAAATAGCCAGTCAGTCAGTTAGCCTTTATTGGCATAAAACAATACATTAAAAGAGGATTACTATAAGAAAATATACATATAAAACCAGGTATTTTGCAAACTACATAATATTGCATAATGATGAAATAGCAAACTATAGCTTGCTGAAAATCCAGAAGTGACTAAATTAGCTTGGAACGTGTGAGCATGGGAAGGAAGAGGGATTGTGAGAATGAGCCCCAGGCTCATTCATGCAGCACGAAGTCATTTTACATTAACTCATTGGTTCTGTTCAGATGTTTTCACCAGATCTTATTAGCATTTCACTATTATGTAATAGTAGTGATAACTTTATTTTTAAAATGTCATCATGGCTTCATTGAGGTTCTAGGCTGAAACATGTCCATCTTCAACCATGACCTAGAACAGGGGTGTCAATCATATGGCCTGCGAGCCAGATTTGGCCTGTCCAGGGCATTTATCTGGCTTACAAGCATGAGAGGGAGGGAAAAGGAGGTGTGAGGGAGGTGTATCAGATCCAGCCCTTGTAACAAATGAGTTCGACACCCCTGCCCTAGAACATCTTAAGGATACTGAACTGTGCTTTTTCCCCCCCTTCATTTATGTGTCTTGGAGAATTTGAGGATGACTCCCCAATGAGATATTTACATGAACTGTACTCTGAAATCAGGACACTGAAGGTAATATTTGGTTTGCTTACAGAATGAAAGTCTGAAACAATTTCGTTTCTACAGTATGGTCTGCATAATTTTCAAAGCAAGACAGCATATCAGTTTGACTGGATGGGTTATTGTGACTGGACTAAGAACTAGAACCTTTGAAGAGACTAGCCCGACAACTTCTCAGGAAGCTGGGCAAGGTCCTCCTCTTCTTTCTATTTTTAAACAATAGCACAACAAGTGAGTGTTCAGTTCCCAGTAGTTGTTACAGTCAGTATTGTCTTTGTAAGTTGTGACATAGAGGAGGTTATCTGGCCCCAACAACCGGATTGTCAACAGCCAAACCCCTTTCAAGGCTTGAGCAGACTTAATCTCCGTAAGATCCAGTGGGATTTCAGGGAGCAGAGGGAATGGAGAGGGAGGGAGTTACCTATAATTGTTCACATTTTACCTCAGGCAGAGTGAGCCATGGATTAGAGTGGTCAGGAAAAGGGAAGCTCAGTGTTCTGAGGAATCAGAGGAGTTGGGGACCTGGTTGCTGGATGAGTGGAACCAAGTTAACGTCATTTTGAAAAACAATGTCAAGCTGAGAACATTGAGAGAGTGTTCATATTGCATTCTCTCGCTGATACAAAGTTTGGCTAGCGTGTGCTTACTTAAGGATAGTGATCTCAGAGAAAGCTGATAGTAATAGTAAATCTCGATTTATGAACCTGAATGATTGTCCATGCAGTTATATCATTATAAAGTATTGGAATCTGTAACATCATCCAGCAAACTAATTGCCCCTTTTTTCAAATAATTTGCAATAATTGTATGCCTTCTATGAACTACCTCATATGTGTTAACGTCTTCAGTATTGTTCATACTCCTCATCAGACTGTAAAGGGAGCTGAATCGTATAGTCAGAGTTATTAAAGTGGAGGCTGCCAGATCCTACAAAAACCTCTGCTTCAGAGGGACGTTGCGTGCAACTGCGAAAGGCACCAAAGAGCACTTTTTAAAACTTGCATCAAAGCCCACCTCAGCCACCTTTTCCACAGTAGGGTTACGCTGAATGCACATGAGGTAATAAACCAAAAGAGTGAGCTCTGACTTGGAAATGAATGTTGTAAGTCTTTAAGGCACCACTGGATTTTTGCTGCAACAAACTAGCACAGTTACATCTCTGCAATCCTGTGCACAGTTACATAAGAGTAAACACCATTAAACCCAGTGGGACATACTTCTGAGTAAATATGCATGTGACCAAACTGAAGCTCCCTGGGCAATCATTTGGCATAGACTCTAGCAAAAATCAGCAGTAAATCTGATTAAAGGGTTTTTTTAAAAAAAGAACTCTCTAATCAGCTTCTAGATAGCAGCCCCAGTTTAGTATCACATGGTTAGCGGAAACAGGAACAGAGTAGATTCTAAATAATCAATAAACAGTTACTTTAAAAACAATTGAACAAAAGTAAAATTTTCCCTAAGTTTTAAAGGCATCCGTATGCATAGATTTCTTAAGCAACTGCTTAAACTTAGTCCACCATTATTTATTTATTTGGATTTGTATCCCGCCCTCCCCACGAATGGGCTTGGGGTGGGTAACAACAATATAAAATACAACATATTTAAAACCAAGTTAAAGCAACAATATACAATGCCATACTCCTAAGTACCATGTCAGCTCAGATAGAAGCATATCAGCAGTGGTGAAAGATTTAGGATGTTAGGGTCCAGGGGCCACTGGTGGGGTTGGCCACAAAAAGGGGCACCCGCTGCCTCAACCAAAAGCCTGGCACAACAGCTCCATCTTACAGGCCCTGCGGAACTGCACTAAATTATGCCAATTTATTGGACTTACAAAAGGGGCAGTGATGTGAATATTTACGAAATTGAGATTCTAGGTTATCCCAAGGCAGCAAGTCTTATATAGGCACAAAAACTTAGTTAAAGGAAGGAAAATGACCCTTCTGTACTTCTGACTGTGGGAAAAATGACCAGGGGGAGGAGGGCACTATAACATGACACATAAATCGGTTACAGGGCTGTTAGTTATTTGCAGAACTAAACAGAATGTAGCAGCACCTTAAAGATGAATATTTATTCCAGTATGAGCTTGAATGAGTCACCCTTCAGAGTGCTAGATGGTAAGATACATTCAAGGCTGCAATACTATTCACAATTATATAATACTCAAGACTTGGGACTTGGTCTAGTAGTTAAGAGTGGTGGACTCTAATCTGGGGAACCAGGTTTGATTCCGCACTCCTCCTCCACATGCCGCCACTGCCAGCTGGGTGACCTTGGGCCAGTCACAGTTCTCGTAGAGCTGTTCTCTCAAGAGCAGTTCTCAGAGCTCTCTCAGCCCCAGCTACCTCACATAGGTGTCTGTTGTGAGGAGAGGAAGGGAAGGAGACTGCAAGCTGCTCTGAGACTTCGAGTGAAGGGCGGGGTATAAAGCCAATCTTCTGAGAAAATATGCTTACAATCAGACTGGTCCAGCCCTCCAATTGGGTGATGAACAAATTGGCCCTTGGGGCAAACCCCATCAGGGAAAGGTGAGTGTTTAAGAACATAAGAGACGCCAATGTTGGATCAGGCCAAAGGCCCATCCAGTCCAACACTCTGTGTCACACAGTGGCCAGAAATACCAGGTGCCATCAGGAGGTCCAGCAGTGGGGCCAGGACACTAGAAGCCCTCCCACTGTTGACCCCCCCCAAGCACCAAGAAGACAGAGCATCACTTGCCCCAGAACCCCTATCTATACCTTGTGGCTAATAGCCACTGATGGACCTCTGCTCCATATGCTTATCTAATTCCCTTTTGAAGCCGTCCATGCTTGTAGCCGCCACCATCTCCTGTGGCAGTGAATTCCATGTGTTAATCACTCTTTGGGTGAAGAAGTACTTCCTTTTATCCGTTCTAACCCGACCGCTCAGCAATTTCATGGAGTGCCCACGAGTTCTTGTATTGTGAGAAAGGGAGAAAAGTACTTCTTTCTCTACCTGCTCTATCCCATGCATAACCTTATAAACCTCAATCATGTCTCCCTTCAGTCGTCTTTTCTCCAAGCTACAGAGCCCTAAGCTCTTTAACCTTTCCCCATAGGGAAAGTGTTCCAACCCTTTAATCATTCGAGTTGCCCTTTTCTGCACTTTTTCCAAAGCTATAATATCCTTTTTAAGGTGTGGTGGCCAGAACTGCACACAGTATTCCAAATGAGGTCGCACCATTGATTTATATAGGGGCATTATGATATTCACTGATCTGTTTTCAATAGCCATCCTAATAATCCCCAGCATAGCATTGGCCTTTTTTATTGCAGTCACACACTGTCTCGACATTTTCAGTGACTTATCTACTAAAACTCCAACATCTCTCTCTTGATCAGTCTCTGCCAGTTCAGACCCCATCAGTGTGTATTTATGTTTAGGATTTTTGGCTCCAATGTGCATCACCTTGCACTTGGCCACATTGAACCCTATTTGCCATGTTGACGCCCGCTTGCCCATCCTTGACAGATCCCTTTGGAGTGCCTCACAATCCTCACTGGTTTTCACCACCCTGAACAACTTCGTATCATCCGCAAATTTAGCCACTTCACTGCTTACTCCCAACTCCAAATCATTAATGAACAAGTTAAAAAGCAGTGGACCAAGTACTGATCCCTGCGGTACCCCACTGCTTACCACCCTCCACTGAGAAAATTGTCCATTTATACTCACTCTCTGTTTTCTATTAATTAGCCAAATTTTGATCCGTAAAAGGAGTTGTCCTTTTATCCCATGATTTTTGAGCTTACTTAGGAGCCTTTCATGAGCAGAACTTCACTGGCTGCACTGGGCTCTCTTAAATCATCTGTCACAATAAAGCTGTAAAACTGCCAGGAGCCAGCTTGGGTCACCATTGAAACCTGGTACCTGGGGTTGTCAGGCCCTGAAGTCTAAAACAGAACATAATTTGATACGTCAGATACATTATCTCCATTACACATCATGACAAAAAATGAAAGCATGATAGATGTTGCAGGTTTGTGTGACTGGTGGGAATATGGATTGAAACTCCTTGGAGCTATTGTGTGCTTAGAAGAAATTGGAAGTAGGGGGCCCTATCTGGACCTCAACTTATTTAAGGGCTGCTTTGCCCTTACTGTCTCGTGGAAACGATTGTTTTGTTTATCTGTATTTAGAATGTGGCTTAGATAATAGGAAAATATTACTTGTATTACTTGTATTTGTAGCTGGCCCCAATATGTAGGATGGCTGCACATCTCAACTCCCTCCTTCCCCACAAAATAATCCATGTTTTCATTATTCAGCCGTTCAATGAACATGTATTTCTGATATTCTCTATGAAAAGACAGAAGGAAATCATCCATATTATGGATTCCCATTTTGTGGAACAAAATACCCTTTTTAAAGGCTATGTCAGTTCCACTGTATCAGCACTCATAACGAGTGATCTTGCTCTGTTCTGATCTTGTCATATAGCTTGCTAACAATTTTTTTTTTAATTCAAGGTTGAAGCTGATAGTGTTCTTATTAAGAAATCTGAAGATCGAGATGCTACATATGACTTCATAAAGGCCAGCAAAGTTCTGATGAACAGAAATGCAGCAGACCTTGGAAAAATAAGAGACGTTTTTGAGAAATACGGATACAAGCCCATTATTAGGGAAGCAGGTAATTTTTTTTCTTTCCCAGTCTAGAAGGTTTGGCAACATCTAGATATCATCATTTTATTTTGTATCCAAAAATTGTCCAGAAAACTCCCCCATCCCCAGGTTCCTTAAACTGACTGAGATCTGGTTTTCCATGGTAGTTTTTTAGTGTTTCTGTTTTATGCCAGGTTAGTTTTGCATGCTGTATAAACACCTCTGTTTTTTCCCCAGTAACCTAAAATATTTGACTAGCAAAAAAAATCAGGACGGTGTACCTAATGTATTTTGAATCTTATGTCTCAAGTTTTACCTGGAATTATGGGGTAGATTCACTCATTCCCTTCTAATGCCAAGGTATCTTCTTCCTGTTCCTTATAGCTTGACTTCCTTCCATTGGGGGAATGTTTCTCAGGCAAATTGAGTCATTTGATTCAATTGTACTTTATGCTTAAAGACATGATGGCTCAATAGTCTTTTTTTGCCTTACAGTGTATAATTTTTTCCTTTACGACGTTAAAAAATGTTTCTCCTGATTCTAGGGCTAGGGAAAGCTTTGCACAACAAGTCACTTTTGTCCGCTCATATCTAAAAAGTTAAAATCCCATTAAACTGCAAGCTCTAATATAAACAGAGGTTTGTTTGCACTGAGTATGGTCCCAGCTTGTTTGCTGTGTTCATGTAATGCCATCCCCTGACTACTTCTACTACCCCCTCCCCCTTATCTACAGAGCTTCCTGGTTTGATGGTCACAGGAAATAGAAGGTTGATCAGATTGTAAAATGTCAACCTCTACAGGTAAGAGAAGGAGACATTCAGAGGAATACACATTCCAACAGCTGTGTTCAGTGTATTGGTGCAGTGTATTCAGATGTCACAAGAAATTGTAGCCTGTCATTCCAAGAATGAACCTTGGAAGACTTTTGGGAGGAGGCAGCATGCATGCTCAGGCCATGCTCCTGATACCTGGATTCTGGGAATCCAGTTATCCAGTTAAGACTGAAGCAACTGCATTCTTTTAAATAGTTTATAGGCTGAGAAACAGCACAAATTCAAGCCTCTCTTTTTTAAATAAAGCAACAAAAGATGAAGCTGAAACTGATCCTGAACCTGCCAAGTCTGATCAAGAGGAACTGAAAAACCTTGCTTGCCCTGAAGATTCTTCCAGACCTGATCCTCTGGTGCGAATTCCACAACTTTCAGATTTTGGGCTTTCAAAATATGCTCTCCCCAGTACTTGGAACACTGTGAATATATTACAACAAGCCCATGTACAGAAGGAACAGCCAAGAGAGGATTATTCTGGTTGCCCATCACCCAAGATAGAACAGTTCTGTATTAAAGGGCGTGACCTTTCTGTGGACAATGACACTGTATATTTGACAGAAGACCAAACAATCTTCTTGCTCAATAATGCAAAAAAAAGTAGGTAAGTAGCATCCTTTTGAAACTCTGTGAGAAATGACGACTAGATGTTCTTACTACCTTATTTTACTTTCTGCCCTTAATGTGTAGGTTCATTGTTGTGTTTCCAAACATTAAAATAGTGTCTAAGCTACATATATGTGTAAACTACAAATATATGTACAATGTTTAAAACAAATCACAAAAACACACAAGCAGATAGGAGGGCTTGCAGAGGTCAGCAATAGAAGGAGACAAATTTCCCGGGGGATGGAGTTTCAGAGTTTTTGAACTTCAATCAGGAAGGCCCTTTCTCACATTGCCCCCTGGCTATCCTCTGACTGGAATGGCTGGGTAGATTCATATGCGAGTTGACAGTCCTCGAGGCATGCTGGCCCAAAGCTGTATAAGACTTTAAAGGTTAATAACAGCACCTTGAATTGGGCCTGGAAGCAAGCTGGAAACCAGAGTAGACGGAACAAAACTGGATTGGTATGGTTTGTATAACCCACTTTTGGCTGCAGCATTCTGTACCAACAGTAGCTTCTGGACAGTCTTCATGGGCAGCCCCATGCAGAGTGTGCTGTAGTAGTCTGATCTAGATGTTACTAGGGTATGCGTCACAGTGGCAAGATCTTTTTTGCCAAGAAAGGGCCACAGCTGGCTCACCAGCCAAACCTGGTAAATAGTGCCCCTGGCTGCTGCTGCCACCTGTTTCTCTAACGAACCTGCTTCTTCAAGTGGTATGCAACCCCATCCAGAACAGGAAATATCCCAGTTCCTGGGTCAAACCTTCCCCCTACCAGTAGCACTTCTGTTTTGTCAGGATAGTTTCCACTTGTTGGCCCTCCTCTTCCATCCCAGAACTGCCTCAAGGCACATATTCATGGTTTTTTAGGGAGGGGGGGAAGGGAGAGGAAAGATATATAGGTAGATATATTAGAAAACAAAGTAATAGTATAGAGGGGATACAAAAAGGAGAAGAGGTATTGTTAGCCAAATTGCCTTAATTTATTAATAAGATGGGGGGATTTGAATATTAAATGGCAATGGCTTTAATTAAGGAAACAATAATGTATGTATACTGGAGTCCAACTTATCCAGATCCCCAGAAATAGATGCAGAGACTAGATCTTAAAATAGAGTGATTTTTTTACTAATAATTCTCACACACGTACAATAATAATGAAACAATCATACACTCCAGTAATACAGAACTAAGAAGTTAGATAAAAAGGTACAGCAACAGTTGCATTAGGAGAAAGGTATCATTTATGGGGGCGATACTTTACCTGTCCGATGCGACGAGGCAATCATGCAGCAAAAATAGGGAAAGTACTAGGGAAGGGATCATGTGTTGGCCAGCAATGCACATGGAAGACTCCAAACAGCGCTAAGAATGGAGCCAGCAAGATAGAGTAGGGTTAGGTAGGTAGGAAGGAAGCAAGAGAGAGAGTATGCACAATGGAGAGATGCTCTCTTTTTATACCCTAAAATGACTGGGAGGGGGATGCTTCACCAGTCACATAGTCCCCAGGAAATCTAGAAAAATTCAGTTACTAATGGTCAGGAGGATGGGTTTAATGGTTGGGCAATTGCAATAATATTCAACTAATGGTGACACCCATGGATGGACCGTAATGGCCCAACGATCAACAGCTGCGTTATCAGGATGGGTGGTGGGTGGACAGGACAGCTGCTTAATCCTCTCATGGAGGAAGTCCTTTTGTTTACAATGAAGAGTATGTGCAACCTCTAGCGCAGGTGGGGGGGAGGTGCCTGCGTGATGGAGAGGAAGCCTTTCTATGAAGTCTTTACAGGAATGCTCAGGCTTTCTTTGCAGAGCATGGCTCCTTCTTAGTGAACTGCTGCTGGTTTCTGCGTACTTGTAGTGTCAGGGAGGTTGGTTTGCCTCCTGCAGGGATGCAGGGGTGAGAGGCATCGGGTATTCCACGGGTCCATGTCTGGCTTGGCACATTGCTTCAGGGCAAGGCTGCCCTTGGCTGGTCATGTGCCTACAGTCCAGGAGATTGGCGCCATCTTCTGGCTACCACACAGTCCAATACCCTTGCATACTTGTTGTACAGTCCAGCTTACAGTTATAGTCCATAGCCTTATAGATGCTGTGCAAGGCTCTTGCAGAGCAACAGCATTATATAATTGTATGTATCAAGGATAATCGTATATTACAGAGTGTATAAAAGAGAAAATATTTCTCCCCAACATCCCCTTTGTTATAATTTTCAAGACATTATCTATAAAACACAATGGTCCTTACTTCTGTTGGGGTGCTTAAATTTCATAACTGATCTGTTTTGCAACTACATTATTAGTTTCATCATTACCACATATTCAGTATTAAATATTTCACCATTTCTGCATACTCGCTATAACTTTTAATACGTCCAAATAAAAGGAAAGTCTATTATACATCTCATAATAAGAAAATAAGATATTTCTGCTCAAAATCCACTTCATTATACATGTATATTTCACACTTGTCATTCTGCCTCTGCATTGCAATACATTTATATACAATTTTTAAACTCTCATTCTAAATTTGTCTCCTGTTTGCATATAATACATGCTCCATCTCTCCTCAAATTTCGTGATTGATCTGTTTCTCAGATGGGTTATACTCTGCCCTTCACTACCCAAAGAGTCTCAGAGTGGCTTACAATCTCCTTTCTCTTCCCCTTCCCACAACAGATACCCTGTGAGGTAGGTGGGCGCTGAGAGAGCTCTTTGGAGAACTGCCCTTGAGAGAACAGTTCTGAAAGAACTTATGACTGATCCAAGGTCACACCAGCAGCTGCATGTGGAGGAGTGGGGAATCAAACCTGGTTTTCCCAGATGAGAGTCCGCGCTCCTAACCACTACACCAAACTGGCCTAACTCTCTTTTTTTGTAATCTTAAAGCTTATTCTTGGTTTCTTGCCATTCCAAATAAATTTGTTTATCTGTCTTTGCCCACTCTATCAATATTCTTTCTTTTATATGTATAGGTAGCATTTGGAATAAAAGATTTAGTTTTGGCAGGTCGTTCATTTTGATTGCAGAAATTCTTCCCAGCCATGAGATTTTTAATTTTCTTCCATCTCTATAAATCTGCTTGTATCAGTTTCCAGGTTTTCTGATAATTGTTTCTAAAAAGATTACAGTTTTGCCCCAGTCACCTTTATTCCCAGATATTTAATGGGATCGGTAGCTAGACATGCTAATGGTTTTCACAGCACCCGTGGGATCTGCTTGAAGCACAAGATAGAGCTGAGTGTCATCTGCGTATTGGTGACCACTCAGCCTACATCTTCAGATGACCTCTGCCAGCAGCTTTACACAGATGCTGAAAAGCATGGGAAACAAGATGGTGCCTTGTGGGACTTGGTAGGTTAGAGAGCTATAGCAGCAGCCCCCAAGCAGTATGCTTTGAAACCTTCCCTTAAAGATAGGACCAAAACCACTGCAAAACAATGCCCCCAAGTTCCAACCCCGAGAGGCAGTCTGGAAGGACACCGTGACCAATGGTATTGAAAGCTGCTGTGAATTAACAGGATTGCTGTCCCCCTATTCATTTCCTGGTAGAGGTCATTTATCAAGGGTGTTTCATCACATAGCCAATATTGAAGGCAGATTGGAACAGATCTAGACAATCTGCTTCATGCAGGTATCCCTGGTGTTACCCATGTGTAAATGTTTAGTGGGGAAAGGATGAGATGAGACTGCTGCAACAACATCAGAAGAATATACTTTTAAAGAAATAGCTACTGCTTCTTGTCTGTCTGTCATGCCATCTCCTCATTCCAACTGATCCACAGGAAGAAAGGGAAAGGAGATGTAAAGATCACAACCTTTTTACAGACCTACAACACTGGACAAGCTCTTCGAACATGGCTTGCTACATCATGAAGAAAATCTGGTCTTCAGGAACACAAATGCAGTATCCTTTCACTTATGTCATCGACTCATTCGTAGCCATGACAATATTTTTGTCTTTTCCTCAGGCAAGCTAATAAGATGGATAAGCCATCAGGAGTACTGGCATCAAAAGAGAACCCAGCTACACCGGGGCAAAAGAGTAAAGTGTGTGGTAAGTCCTGGGTATTCAAAATGGGCTCCTTAAACCTTGAAAGAGCCATTCAAAAGTAGAAATAAAAATCTGATTACATTTAAACAAGCTGAGTTGTGTGGGGGGGGGTGTTGCAACTAGGCTAAACAAAACCTGAGGTAAAGAAGAAATTTTATTACTATTAGGAGCATCCTAGAAATGCTGCTTTTTGTTACCATGATGTTCAGAGGTATACTGAGGGCCAAACTAGAAGTGATGGTGTTCTCGTGTCTGACCACAAGGACACTGCTGCCATTTTAAGGTCTAAAATGTACAATTTAAACATGCTCCAGGGGCCTGCAGCACAGCAGGGTGAGTCATTCTTGTGTGTGCCACCCCCCAGCACCTTTCAAGTGCCAAAAGGGCCACTGTTAACCAATTGTAAAAAAAACTTTTAGGCAAAACTGAGAAGCTTCCCATGTGTTCTGACTGAAAACTGAAATCTGGCAAATAAGGGAGCCATCACAGAATGATGGACCTCGGGCCTATGTTTTTGATATCCTTATGCCTAACATTTCTAAACCTTGAACTGTGCCCTCCCTGTGTGAAATTACCACTCTATCTTTTTCAGATTATGATTATATGGCTTCACCTGCAGCGCCCACTTTCTGTACACCTGGATTGAAAGTTCCCTCTAGGAAGAATACCACTTTACCAAAATCCCCAGAGAGTAACCTGTCAGACGCGTCTAATAATACAGATGAAGTTACCCATCCAGACCCTCAGTCTCTGGGAAAAGAGCCTGAAGTAAGCACCAAACAACCTCTTTTTTTTAATGTTTTGAGTGTCACAGTTAGATCTCCCATCCTATTACTGCATTGAGACGGTGTCTCAGTGGTGATGATGATCTGAATCATATTTCACTTTCTAAGTGTGGTACTGAGTCTCCGTGTTCCTGTTGCTGACATAGTGATTCTTCTACAGCCACCGTATGTAATCCAGATGGTACCAAATAAAGGGTACGTGGAAGAAGCTGTTGCGCCTGTCCTGCCCTCAAACACGTATCTGGACTGTCTTAAAACACCTGCTCCTCCTGCCATATCGGACTACAGAAACATATTTACCACTCCTCCGCCAGCTCCTGAAATAACTGTCATTCCAACACAAATTCTGCAGGTGAGATAATTACACTCTTCTGCAGCCAGGGCTGTAACTCTGCATTTTTGCTAGGGGTTCTTTGCCTGTTGACATGGGTGGAGGGGAACTGGCAACTGCTCTAAGCTAGAAACAGCCACACTTTCCTAATTTTTCTTCTACATTTTTTTAGATTTTATCAAAATACAGCTCAAACACAGACCCACCCAGAGTCACAGAGAAGGTGAAAAATGAAGGAATGGCCACACAATTTGAAAGAAGGCCTGCTCTTGCTCTTGATATTAGTAACAAAGAAAACAGGTGAGACTTAAGCATGGGAATAGCACGCTTGGAGCCAGAAGCGTAATGGAAATAGTATAGTACTACATATGTTGGCAATTGGACACACACACCCCTTTGCTTGAATGTCTAGGAACTTGCTTTTTTTGCACTTGAATAGAGAGCAGCCTGTCCTATCTGTATCTGTCCCATGGTAGACTCTGTCCATCGACTAAAGCATTGTTTCCCAACACGTGGGTTGAGACCAAAGAGCGGGTTGTAGGACAACCCCTTCTTAATGGCTGCTCCTGCTCTTTGCATTGCCAACTTATCATATTCTTCCATTTCCCCTCCCACATGTAAAAATAATGAGGGCAGAAAAGCCATCAGGTTTTTGGAAACAGTGCAGGGGGTGGAGATAGGAGCTGCAGAGCTGATTAGGACTGGATCCCTGCAGCAGATTTTAAAAGTAAAAAAAAAACCCAGGCTCTAAAATGGTGCTGCATTCCCATGGCAGACTTGGGGATGCAGTTTTGCCTAGTTTGGCCCTTAGACAGATCAGTAATGTGTGGGTGAAATCTTTCCTCTTATCGCAGTGCAGTCATGATGAATGTATACACTTCAACCACTCTGAATGTGATTAAAGATGGCATAAGGCTCAGCATTAAGCAGTTTTGAGCAAATAACTGTTGAGTAGCACCGTCGTTCTTGCCCAGTGGTAAAAGAACCACGTCTGTCTTCTAAGTTTAGATGGAAGCCAGGAGTCCTTTCACATCTTATACCATGCTTGGCCCCTTTCACTGTACTGAGGTTGAAGACTAGACCATTTAACCTGCATTAATATTTCTGCTTTGTAGAGAAAAGAGCATAAACTGTCATGAGTGATGAATGTAACCAATTGTGCTCTCTCAGTGAGCAAAATGTTACATTTGCCTACAAATGTTAGGTATATGCATTTTCCTGTGCAGAGCAGGGAAATCATCATTGTGTGAAGTCGCTGCTAGAAGAACCAACTTCAGTGCTTAATTTGAGGCAAGGCCTTTATTTTGGAAACCAAGCCCTGACCCTGAGAATGCAATCTTTATGTCATACAGTAATTGGTACTTCAGAGCATATGCAAGTTGATTGATAACCATTTATCAGAGCGACTGTCTGAGAATCTTAGAGGGGATTAGAGGTATTAATAAAGGGAGGGAGATCAAAGGCTTAAATGTAACCTCTATATGCAAGGCTTTGTACTTGCGTGGGGTTCATAGTCGAGGGCAGTGGTGCCTTGTGTGATGTTTGTTAGTTTCTCAGAACATCTTTTTGGTTGCTGTAGAAAATGGACTGCTGGACTACATGGGCAGCAAGGTCACAGTTTGCCTAGGGGTGCCAAAAAAAAACTTGGTTGGCCCTAGAGGGGGGTCACCATACCAGAAAGTAAATTTAGACTTCAGAGTCACCATACCAGAAATTTTGGAAACTGCTGAAGTGAAAGCATAGGCACACAGTTTGCCTAGGGGTGCCAAAAAAAACCTTGGTTGGCCCTAGAGGGGGGTCACCGTACCAGAAAGTAAATTTAGACTTCAGGGTCACCATACCAGAAATGTTGGAAACTGCTGAAGTGAAAGCATAGGCTCTGGTAATTCTCCAGCCACAGCTGTCACAAATCTGGATGGGTTAGGAGCTCTTGTGAATATATCATTTAAGTATCATATGAAATCTACCCCTGGGGAAGGGGTGGAGATGAGAGCCAGGACTAAGATGTAGCCAGTGTAGAATCTCCTAATTCAAATTGATACTAATCTGTTGATCTACATGCCTTCCAGGAAAGGGTGGATACAAGTGGCACTTCTAAGGCATCCTTTAAAATAAGAGATGGTTACAAAATGTCTACACATGCAGGAAAACTTTAAAAAATGTCACTTTGAACATAGTCCCAAGACTTCAATGTAACCTATTCTATTTACATTTCCAGTGAGTATTGTGGATAACTCTTAACACAGAGCCTAAATTTTTGTCTGGATTGTCGCATTCAAGGATGCTTTTCACTTTGGACAGCTCAAGAAATGGAATAGAAAACTACGTGGCAAAAGACAAGAACATAGAACTTTTGCATAAATGATTGGCCCCAGGTTGAACAAAATACCCTCTCTTCAAATTTGGTAGTAGCTAGTCAGAAAACTAGCCAACATCTCTACACTTTATGATGTCACTGGCAACTAACTTCCTTGGCATGTTTGAAAGAAACGGACTTATACTCAAATCACTTATTCTCCCTGATCGTTTCTTAATCATTGTCAACCAGTTTTCTGTCTCTTATTAAAAGTTATATCGGCCTACCACAATGCCTTCGGGCAGCATCTGTTGCATAGCAAGAGCCCTATTATCCACTAAGAGAAAAAATTCTATAATGGCCTGGGCCTTAAAAGAAACAGAATGTTTTTTCTGCCTACCCAAACCTGTGTAAGCCTTTACAATTATGGTATTATTAGAAGGTATTATTGCAACCCTTGCATACTAGGTCCCAGGCTGGAAATGCTGTCCTCTAGAGGAAGGTGCTTATCTGCACAGAGGCTGGGTGAGTCGTTGCCTGGCAACTGGGGGTGTGGGGGTGAACTCCAAATAAGAATCTGAAGTGTTTTCTCATGAAGCAGCAGAAAAATGTTGTGGAAAAAGAATTGCAGAGAAGAAGGGCAGCTGGCAGAAGAGCAGCCATCTTCTTGGGAGGGCCTTTGACACGGAGTTTATGGGACTTCCGCTCCTGCTGTGAGGAAAAAGTGGTTTTCCAGTCTGTGAAGAACAGAGACATCGCCTGACACTCAAGCCTGCCTGAATGCATGAGTTGCAGCCCAAAGACATTTTACTAAATTGTTTTTGATATTGCTGTTATCCGCCTTGGGTCCTAGGGTGCCTGGGAGAAAGGTGGGTATATATTTTAAATGAACACAAATTTTAGAACAACAAATGTGTGAAAAGGGAATGAATGAGCAAAGAGCTTACAAACAGGTTTGATAAGCCAATACTCCACATTTACTTCTTTTTTTATCTTTAAAAAAGAAACCATCACAAGAGACATGGAAAACATATTTTCTTGCAGTGGTCACTGAAGAATAATGGTAGGATATTTTAAAAAAACAGAATACTGTGAAGGATCTTTTAAGAGAAGACAGCCTGATGAATGGTCTTTAATGCAGGCTTCAACTTGTTTAAGCATGGGAGCTTTTAACTAATTTTCTCCTTTTTATTACAGGGAGTTCAGTGCTTCAGTTTTATGTGAATAAATGTCATGTCCAAGGAAAGTGTCTTTACAGCCAATTTTCTCTAAGGAAATTAGGCACCCACCTTCAGACTGACCTTGGTACTCCCAAGAAAGATTGTACTGTACAGATTCTTGGTGAACTGTTGGGAAAGGGATTGCTTGCATAGCTGTGCCTTGTCTAGCTACACGTTGCAGCTTTTCTATGGGACAGGGAAATAAAAGGTCTGAACACTTGCTCTTCTGAATCTACTCCCTTAGGATGTGACTGATCATGCCTAAGCACATCTCTGGTACCTTCTATGCATACTAAAGGAAGGGCAAGAAAGAGACTCTTGATGGATAGGACAGGCCTGTTTATAGCTCTCACTGATGGCCATTGGCAATGTTATATAATGTAGAGTATGTGCTTGGATCACTAATATGTTGGGAGCCAGCTTGGTGTAGTGGTTAAGAGTGGTAGACTCTAATCTGGAGAACTGGGTTTGATTCCCCACTCCTCCTCCACATGAAGTCAGCTGGGTGACTTTAGGTCAGTCACAGTTCTCTCAGAAATCTCTCAGCCCCACTGACCTCAGAAGGTGCCTGTTGTGGGGAGAGGAAAGGAAGGCGATTGTAAGCTGCTCCAAGACTCCTTCGGGTAGTGAAGAATGGGGTTTTATAAAACCAGTTCTTTTTCTTGGAGATTTATTGATCAGAAGTAATACGCCATTCCTTGTTCGATCCTTACTTTATGTATTAATGTAGCCAAGCCCTGCCCCCTCCCCAGCTGTATCCTGCCCTTTTGGCAACTGAAGCACGTTTTGTTTCTATTTGAACAACCCGGTAGCAGTAGAAGCTGCCCTTACCATCCAGCCACCCCTGTTTCTGCATGTCCTACTGATCTGGGCTATGCCTTCTCCTTGGAAATGAGTGGGGTGGTCAAATGTTTTTTAAGGATGGGGTGAGGCTTATCTGTTAGAAATTATCTGATCACACCCTGTAGAAGTGTGGCAGAATTACCTTGATGCATGCAGAGGTGATAAGTCTGGGGAATCACTATACCGGCTGTACTTGGTCATCCTGTAAATATTTATATACAGTTACATTGATAACACCCAAAAATGGTGACTTGTTTTCCTGGAGGGATGGCTAAGATGCTTATGGAGTTGCATCTTGTAAGTAGGGACTTAAAACACATTGCACTTCACCCTCTAATCCTACACTTGCTGCTTGTAAGTACTGTCAGTGTAGATTGTATGTATGCTAATAGGGCAAAGATCATGAATTTGTTTAAACCAGCCCTGTACTAAACTAGTATGCCTTCAGAGGATCATATTAACAGTATGGCAAATGGAAAACTTTTAGGGAGTGGGGGCACCTAAACATAGCAGTGCTTAGAGTCCTGGAAGCAAGTGTTAGGAGGGATTCATTAGTCTTTATTTTTATGAGCTTTAGTAGTTCTGGATATAGCAGTGTGGTAACTGACAAGTAGAATTTTTAAAGCCTCAAATGGTGCTGGAAGTACCATTGTATAGAAAAAAAATCAAAGCTATATAGGTAATAATTTGTATTGCTTATTTTGAGGATTCTAGCCTGCTGAATGTATCACCGGCCAAGAGCTTTGCTGGTTGAAGAACTCATGTCATCTACTGCAGCTATACATGTTTTACCCTCTTAAAGTAGGTTATGGCAGACTGGATGAAATTCAGCTGATCTGTGGGGAGTGAAACTGACCAGAAGTGGTAGGGTGGCTTCCTTTTCCTTCCCCAGCCTCCCCATTGCCAAGGAGGCACACCAGGAGTAGGAGGGGGTCTGACCCCAAATGCCCCTCCATGGCAACGGGTCTGCATACATGGTTCTCCCATCTTTTCCTTGCAATAACCCTTTCAGGTTAGATTTCCTGAATAAAAATGAGCAGCCCAACATCATCTATTAGGTGCCAAGGCAACCAGGGATTTCCACAGGCCTAGTCCAACCCTCTAATCACTATACACACTTCCTGTAAAACAGAACACTTCTATGTGGACTTCGTATAATACAGCCGTTATCCAGTAAAATGCTTTTATGTGGAGATAGTTTTGCACATTCTAGTATACCTATTCATAAATGTAGCCTTAATCTCTCCCTTGGTTTCCTGCTCATTGTTTTAAGCAAATTTGCCCAATTACTAGAAGGATGGCAGAAAATATATATCAAGCACTAAAAACTCAAGTGCTCTGCAAATTTTTTGGGAGGGAGCTAGTGTAACTTGAGCCCTGACCTGGATTGTCCTGGCTGGCCTCCTCACATCAGATCTTGGAAGTTAAGCAGGATTGGCTCTGGTTAGTATTTAGATGGGAGACCACCAAGGAATTCGACGGTCACTATGCAGAGGAAGGCCTTTAAAATCCTATGGTGTCCCCATAAGTCAGCTGTGACTTGATGGCACTTTTTATACACGCAGTGTATCTTGAGTATTAGTCTTATAGTAAAAAGCATGCAAAGTTCCCAGCTCTACACCATGTTATTCTAGGCTAACAGAGGTAAACCTACCTGCTATGGTCATCTTCTGAGGCTCTGTTTCAGTATTCTCTGCCTCTCATGATGAGACAGGCAGCAATCAAAGACCAGTCATAGCACCAAAAGTGTGGAATTCCCTCCCCAGGGGTTTTTGCCTTTCCCCCTTCTGTCACTCTTCTACCAGCAGCTGCAGACCTTTTTTGTTGTCTGACATATATATATAGTGTACTGGTTTGAAAGTAGTTTTATTACTGTTTTTGCTTTTAATTGTGAGCCAACTTGGTGGCCCAGATTTAGCAGAAAGGCAGTGTATAAATCGATCAATAAAATAATTAGCCCACACCAAATAAAACTGCTGATAAAGCTACCAAATTCACCCAGATTTACTAGGGGTTGAATGAGAGGCCTCCTCCTTGAAGGTGATCTTAACAGTGCCACCCAGTTAGAAATTAAAATTGGGGTTTCCATGATCAAATGTTTTTAGCATGCAATGGTGATTTTTAGTACAGCATCATTGATGCAAACTCATAAATCATAAAAATTAGAATCAGCTGCATTCTTGTGGTTTACAGATGAGGCTGAAAAAAATGCTAATATGACTTGAGCCACTTCAGATCTTAGGGAACAGTTCACATTATAAACAGTCACGTTTTAAAACTACCTCATCTGCTGTAATGTCTAGACAAAGGGGCTAAAAGGCAAGCAGGCAGCAGTATAACCTGTTCCTCATTTTGCTTCTGGCAGGTTGTGTCCTTGCTGTCACCATCAGGAAACACGATTTTATGCTACAAAGCACCCTATTTTTTAAATAACAGGTCTAACAACCCATTTGCCTTCATAAGAAATAACTTGTCTCATTGAATATTAACCACAGGAGACATTTGCCTTATGAACAGTGGCATATTCTGCACATACAACATTTTTAAGAAACTGCTTGAAGGTAATGGTTGTGTTTCACTTTAAGCAGATAAAATTTATTCTGAGCAAACCAACATTTATAGTTGAGAAATACAGCTAGAGAAGCTAGAGAATACCTAATTCTGCTTCAATCCAGAGGCAGGAGAACCAACTAGAACACTTGAGACTTCAGCACAGGGCACACTAAGCAGTCGCACCTCCCGGGGGTGAAGCTGCGCACAGGCAGAAGGGGGGGGGGCATGCATCGCACACACCCCCAGGAGCCTGGCCAAAGGCTCCTGGCCAAAGGACTTCTGAGAGGTCGCCTCTTCGCCAGTGCGATGCTGGGGAATCGAGGCGCTTCTCCGTCCCCATGGTCCCTCTGCCGAATGTCTGTAAACAACTAGTGACGCTGACTGGGACAAGCGCTGGAGATCGAGCAGCTAAAAACGAAAGCAAAGCAAGGTTGGATGGCCGAATATGAACGTGAGTCAGAATAGAGCGGTTTTGCAAAGTTAAAAAGAAAGCTCCCCCGCCCCACGCACTAGAGAGCAAAGCGAGCGGGGGAGGGGCCCCTCCATGTGCATAGACTTATAAGCAAGATCGGGGGGGGGGAGCGGAAGTAAAAGCGGCAAAAACTGTTGGAAAGACTTACCAAGGCGTGTACGAGTGTATGAGCGCATATTCAGAGACTTTTAAAAGTTTGGCGAAGGTAAACAACAGACAAAGATGGCGGGGAAGAGGACGGAGAAGGAGAAACTTTTAAAAACGAAACCAGCCGAAAGTCCACGACCGGAAGGAACCACCGAGTTGGCTAAAACGATGGCAGAGTCCCTGCGCCCCCTGCTGGAGCAGATGAATAACCTCAAGGAGCAGCTGCCAAAAATGAATCAATGTATCACCACTCAGCAGACACAACTCAAGGAGACTCTTAAAAGCATGGATCATCAAACAGCTGAGAAAATGAAAGGTTGACACCACTGCTCAAAAGGTGAAGAAAAAGGTGCAAAAATTGGGAAAAAAGCAAATTTCAACAGAACAGCTTTTACAATTACAAATGGAGAGGGCAAACCTGGTCCTTCGTTTCCAGGGTGTTCCAGAGAGCAGAGGAGAGAATCTGAAGCAAATGATGAGCGAGGCATTGGCCCCAGTGACAGATTTGAAGGAGTGAAATGGATGTGGTCTACAGGTCCTACTCCATATACATAAAGAAGAAGAATCTGCCTGGGGAAATTGTAATGAGATTCTCGAAGAGACACGTGAGGGATTGTATCCTAAGGGTGATGGCGGGGACGCCTTTGAAAATTGGGGACAGTAGTATTTGGATTCTGAAAGATATTCCATTTGAAATAAGACAACGGAGAAAGAAATACAAAGATTTAATTGGAAAAGGACAGTAATTCCAGTGGTGAGCTGGACTTGGAGTCTTCTGGACTCTATCTGAGAAGGGGGCAGCGGCTCCTAAAAGTCCTTATAAACTGCGGAAGAGACAAGATAAGAAAAAATGAGGGTTGAAGGACTCTGAATGGTGCCTGACAAATATTGGGGTTTTTTAACATGGAGATGCTGAGGGGTCTTTTCATAACAGTTAAATTTAAGATTTAAAAGTCATAAAAGCATGTCTGACTAAGTTCATAAAACGTAGCATTTTAAGAGTTGGCATTGTATGTAAGCTAATTTGATTATCTCCTCTCGGGTTTTTAGTCAGTAGTGGTTATCTTTTCTTTCTCCTCTAAATGTAGTACCCCTCCCTTATTTTTATTATAGTTTGTAGTCCATATAGAAAATGCAATAAAAAAATCCCCTTTGGGGGGCCAAAAAATAAAAAAAAAACGCTGCTAAGGCTGTAAGAGGACAGATTTAGGTTTAGCAATTAAAATCTGTTGGAAGTTCACTTGAAATTCTCATTCACCTACACATCTTTATCCACTCATCTCGGGAAGTGTGCATGTACATGAAAGCTCCTACATTGAATAAAACTTTGTTGGTCTTAAAGGTGCCACTGGACTCAAACTTTGTTCTGTTTTTATCCACAGAATTGCCCTGACCCAAATAAGGACATTGGTATACACACAGAAATCTGTTTTGTGTATCACTTGATGTATCACAAACTGTAGGGATAAACAAGATGTGTATCTGATCTGACAACAGATGGCATATATCCACATGACACTGGTTCCAAGTGAACTGGCATCTTATCTCCATTCCTGTGTAAGAATCACATATAAATTACTTTGAAAAATATGACCAGAGCTGGATTGAAAAAAATCTGGTTTTGTGCAGTAATTGTGTGGAATTCTTGAATGCAATTCATACATCTGCCCAAGAGCTTGTTTTCAGCAATGTGACTTTTTCCAGCACCCACACCCAATATACTAAAGAAAATGCAGTTCATCCCCCCCAGGTAGCCTTGTGGACTGATCACTTAAGAGATCCAAGCATCTATGGAATGCTGTTCATCACACAATGTCTAATTTTTTCCAGATACAACAGACCACATTCTTCTCCACTTGAACCTACTCATGGTGACTGAGGCATGTTCTAGCCTCACATCCTGGTTTCCTTCAAAGCAAATCTCAACATCTGTTTTCTTGAAATACATCAAACCCACTTTATTACCCATGCTCATACATTAACAGTTGGGTGGCATTATAACAAATTTGCTCTATAACAAAGGAATTACAAAATCCTCACAAGACTGCTTATGGTGCTCTAGCCACACTTCATGTATTTTGGAAATACTGGAGAGGCCTGTTTTCAGATTAACTGGAGAGAGAAAACTTATCCAAGCAGTTGAAAGAATGCTGTTCTAAGCATATAGTTAAAAAAAAAGAATTGGTATCTCCAAGGTTTAAGGAGTTGTCTAGCATTCTTGTTCTGTGTTAAAAAAAATTCTTCCCCAGATCAACCTATAATCATGCAAATGGTGCGGTCACTGGAAGAAACCAAAATATTAGTAAGGTCTCATGCGACCTGATGGAGGTGGTGCTCGATTTGGAGGTGTAATTGCTATGTCCAAGTAGTCACCTATCTGGAATTTCTGAGATTGCAGGGTCATGGAATCATCTGTGCCCTTTCTGCCTGACATTGTACTGCCGATCTCCTTCACCCTGTAGGAAAAAACAAGATACACGATAATTTGCCTCCAGTAAATCAAGTATCTGAAGGCCACACTAAGAAAGATGCTATGTTGTGCATGAGACTGCCCCCAATCCCTATATTTGCTCACCCCCAAAAGAGCTGACTTGACTGTCAGAGGCCTGGATAAAAGATCCAGTTTGACATCAAAGTAGAGGCCCCTGAGCTAGCAGTACTTTCCTTGGATACTCTTCACATGAGAGCAGCCTAACAGCTGGAATGCTCTAGAGAGCATATCGATTAAAGGCCTTTTGTCTGAAGCCTCCTCAGACCCATGGTCTTAAGCAATGACTCAGGTTTAATATAATAACCTGAGACCCAGCAGCTTCCTTTACAATTCAACTTTCTCCAGTATTTCAATCACATGCCCAGGAATTGTCATCAAGCTACTGCTCAGCATTTGTAAAACCAGCCTGAGCTGGTCCACCACTCAGGTAACTCAATCACTCCACCTGAGCTGTTCTGCTGTGCTCTGTCTCCTGATCTAGAATGCCCGTATTTGGACCTAGACCCTAAATGCTCATCTATCTGCACTCACACAAAAGTCAAATTCACCAACAGGACACAAGACCTGCTGGAATAAGTAGGAATTTTTTAAGCATCAAGCCTTGAGGAAACAATGTGGATTTTGAAGGATGGTTGATGTAATAGTTACAAAGATTATAATTTCATAAATGATCAAGTTGAATCTTTTAAAAAAATTACTAGTGGATGTATGTACCCAAAAATTACCCTACTCAGTGATTGATTAGGAAAAAATGCAACTATGTATGATTGTCTTGTTGCTGTATAGAATATATTTGAAGTATAGGGGGATAATTGAACGTGTATTTAAGATATTTTATAGGCATGTGCATCGATGTGAAAACCCAATAAAAAGTATATTTAAAAAAAAGCAGGAAACGACCTTGCATCACTGATCCAAACCCACTGAAGACTCTAAAATCTGCAAAGAATTCTGCCATGGACTACAAGGAATCAATATTACCTCTTCAGAACAGGCAGTGTATGGCTTTCCTGTCTCCCTTTATTGCCTTTTAGACTCCCCATTTGTACCCCTATGTAGGCAGCAAGCAAGGACAGTACTGCTAGGACTGTATTACTGTATTGCAGGGTGTTATGCTTTTGGTCTCCCTTGCACTTCATTTTTCTACCTCTGTATTTTAGGGAAATACAGATGTTACTCGAGACCCTTTCTGGCTCATCTTTCAAAGGGTACTGTTCTAGAAAGGGATCCACATAAATGAAAGACTGAAATAGTCCCCCATTACCCCAGAACATGTGTATGGTTCTAAACACATAGAAAATGTGCATGGGCAGGCCTGGCATGGGAACCGATTTGGGTTAACATCCACTGTTCCTCTAGTCCACCGACAGGCAGCAACAGTCTATGGTCTCAAGCAAAGACCTTTCCCAGCTCTGCTTCCCAAGTTCCTTCCTGTCTGCAGGTACCAAAGTGAGCCTTGATGAAAACAGCTAAGACTTGCTGCCACCACTGGCTCTATTACCTGTAGCCGGGCCTTTTAAGATCTGGGAAAACAATTGCAAAGTTGAAATGTGTGCCCTTCTTTCGTGCTTCTGGATAGACTTCTTTCACTAAACTGGTCAGTTCTTTTAGAGTTGCATCCATCCTGGGGAGAAAAAGAGCCACCCACACTGTAAATCAGCACAGTGACATCCTATCACCATCCTCCAGGGAACCCAAGGTAGCATACAGGATTTTCCAAATTATGTTAAAGCTCTTAAGTGAACAGGAAACTGGAGGAAAGAGCCAACCTCTTCAGAGTTGGTTTCATGTGGTACACAAAACTGTATAGCTACAACCATGCTACAGAACTTTGTCCCATTTTTTAAATTTGTATTTGCCCCTTGTCACCACACCATATTCCCAAGCTGTTGTTTGCCCCCTGTACAATAAGCAGGTGCAGAAATCAGTAGAGAAACAATAAGGGACAAAACAGAGACATCTACCGCTTCAAAAAACCTGAACATGATATAAAGTTTCTTGAGATATTTATTTCATTTATACCCCGCCTTTCTCCCCAATGGGGACCCAAAGCAGCTTACATCGTTCTCCTCTCCTCTACTTTATCCTCACAACAATCCTGTGAGGGAGGTTAGGCTGAGAGAGTGTGACTGGGCCAAGGTCACCCAGCGAGCTCCCATGGCACAAGTGGGGATTCGAACCTGGGTCTCCCAGATCCTACTCCCACACTCTTAACCACTACACCACACTGGCTCTCTGCCCAAACTTCACAAGTAATGCTATGGGACAGTATTAATGAATGTCTCAGTCATTTTTCAGGTTACAACATTCAAAGGTATATATCCAAATAAGCGAAGTATTTCATGCCTACTGGCTGTTCTGTAACAACCCCCAAACAAATGAACACTCCCAGTGCAGAATATGAATATGACCCAGAGGTATTAGCGATTGATCACTTGGCAGCTTCTGCAATGCCCTTATTTAGCAGAGAGAAATGATGGCAAGGCAGAAGAAAAACACGAGAGCACAATATTGGCTTCTCCCTGGTAAGTGCTACTCTTGGGCTTCTTTCTCACCTGTCCCTTCCTCCAGCTGCTGCCCACCTTCCTTCCTAGGGTTCACACACATCTCAATCGGAAGACTGCCCAGAGGGTTGCAACATCACAAAAGCCTCCTGAACTTCCTCATATGTACAAGATGCCTTCTGGGTCAGAAATGGGATTAGCACTGCAAAGAGACACGCAATGCACTGCTTCTGATCCAGTGAGCACCTGCATGAAATTAAAGGATCCCCTGCATTCACCCAAGACCTTTGCTACATCTTGTAGCACACAGGAAACACCACGCAAGATGTCAGAGGTCACTGAGGCCTCTGTTGTTTAGGAGGAAAGGATGTCATACTGGGAAACTGGAAGGGAATTCTGAGTGCACTGTTCTTTAAGCCTTGACCCAACATCCCTCTCCAATAGCAAGATGGCTGCAAAAAACTGGGATAGGGATTGCATATAACTCATGAAGTCGCCACCTTTTCTCTAAAGAAGCCATACTACACAGCTTATATCAGGGGTGTCAAACATGCGGCCCTTGGGACGGATCAGCCCCCCACCCCTGGGCTTCTATCAGGCCCGCAGTGGAACTGGCTGTCTTCTGCTTCCAGTTCTGCTGCTGCTGCATCATCGTAGGTTTGCAGCTTACAGATACACACCTGAACAGCATACTCAAAATTGCAACAGCACAGACATTTTGATGCAATAATTCAGAGCAAGAGGTATCAGTTATCAGACACTGGCCCTGGTCACACGGGCCGGATATCGCGGGGGGGGGGAGGCGTGGCTAATTGCCCTGGCGCAGTTTGATCTGCGATTACGCAATCAGACACGCCAGCAGCACACCACAGGTCCTTCCCTTGGCACCGGTGGGTAAACGAGGGACCGAAGGGGAATGCCGCGCGCCGGGACGATCATACCACGGGCGTCTGGAGGCAGCCCGTGGCAAACATTTACTAGTACTTTGGAGGTACTAGCTTTTTAATGCGCATGGTCGGCGGTAAGCCACGGGTGCGCTCCACTTCCCAGATAATCCACTTCCCAGATAATCCGCCCACCATCCGTGCCTCTCCCGCGGCAACTTTGCCGTGTGACCGGGGCCACTGTTAAATAAACAAAATATTGCAAGAGTGCTAATGTTTTAAGCATGTTTTTATTTTAAGTTTTAAAAAACCTTTTGTGTTTGTGTCCTTTATAAAGTTTATACCTCCGCTACCTGGCATTACATTTTATGACACACATGGCCCGGCCCAACAAGGTCTCATTTATGTCAGATCTGGCCCTCATAACAAATGAGTTCTATGCCCCTGGCTTATATCATAATCCTATGGAGTTACATCAGTCAGGTATCTTCATACTCTTCTTCCATTATCTGTTTCTGTGAACACAGGCTCTGTGCCTTCAGCAAATACAGCAGACCTATTTGGTCTGTCACACTGCAGGTATCAATAGTCCATAATGCCCAAAGCAAAGCTCTGGGATGCAGACAGACTGCTAGCTGCCACTCACCAGGTATAGATCTGAAGCTCACTGGAGGGTACATTTCCTCGAGAAAACTCATCCATGCGGTGGTGGCGCCCATTGTTAGTGGTGAAGACCCGTAGTAAAAGGGGGCAGGTCTGCAAGGCAAAGGGCATACAATTAATCTGCAGAGGGGCACAGAATAAAAGGCCAGAAGCCTAACCACTCTGCACCACTGCTCCTTCCAGCAAGGCGGGCAGTTCCACATGACATGCAACTCGAGAGTCATATCCAGTAGCCACCCAACTATAGTCCTAAGAATTCTCCTTGCATCCTACATGGAAATGTTACATAGAAGTCTAACAGGCCTACTTCTGCATATGAACATACAACGCATCTCTGACTTCTCCATTTCTCTCTTATGCCCCAACCTTACCCTACACATGCTCAACACCACACACACTCCAATACAGTAAATTCATTACAGAACGCTTCATTAATGAAGAAATAAGACACAGCATTATCCTCCCTAACGGGATGCACGGGGCTGCCATATGCTGAATCAATCACTTGGTCCATCAAAGTCAGTATTGTCGGGATTGGGTAAAAGTTGGATCTAGATTATTTTAAACAGATCCTGTTTCATGATTTTAAACCGATCCTAGATTATTTTAAACAGAGAGGCGGGTAACTGGGATTTTTCCCCTTTAAGAAGGATTTATATTCTCCATTCACAGACAGGACCCTGACAATCTGTGCCTTGGCTATTTTTGCACTTTGGAAACACCAGGAAATACCTGCTGAAATTCTTTACACTGGAAGCTGTGAACATGGATGTGATTTCACAGTGCATTTTGGAATATTCTACATAGAAATTGTGAAGATCAATGATTTTTCTACACGTTTCTGTGTCATGGTGATACCATGATGTTCTGGATGTAAAAAATCTGTGATGTCATGGTGATACCATGATGTTCTGGATTTTAAAAATCGGTAAAATCTGTAGACATGGATATGATCAGTGATTTGATAAATGATTTTGCAGAAATTGCATGTGAATCCGGTAGTCATCCTTGTTTCCTGCCTTGGACTAATACCATGATGGCGCAAAATCATGAGGATCAACGAATTTTAATACAGTGACCACACTATTGTAGAACCATCCAGATCTGTTGTTTTTGTGGGTCATTCCATGGACATTGATGAGACATGTGATCTTAAAATGTATTTTGTTGGGAGTCCATTTAACAATCATGAGGATCAAAGTATTTAATACAGTGCTTGCACCATGGCAGTGCTACAAATAATTGGATCTGTGATTTTTGTGGTTCGTTCTGTGGTCATGGACATTATGTGTGATCTGATGGTGAGTTTAGGGGACCAAACATAAAAAGCCTGATAATCCATTTTATGTTGCAGGCTGTGGCTATGGACAACATATGTGACTGGATGATGAATTTGGGGTGACCTAACAGAAAAAACATGAGGATCCATGCTTTGAAAGTACATTTTTGCACCACTGTGGCACCACAAAGCAATGAGTCCATTATTTATCTGGTTTAAACTGTGGCTATGGATGTGCTATAAGATTTGATGGTGAATTTGGGGTGACCCAACACAAAAATCCTGAGGATCCCTGAGGATCTGTACTTTGGAACCACGTTTTGTGCTGTGGTAGAGACATGAAGTGGTGGATGGCGTGATTTTTGTGCTGCAAGCTGTGGCCATGGACATGATATATGGGGGTTTGGGGGGGTTCAATTTGTGGCTATGGACATGATATACGATCTGATGTTGCATTTGGGCTGACCCAATGCAAAAATCCTGAGCATCCATGAGGATCCATGGTTCGGAACTAAGTTTTTGCACCATCACAGCACCACAGTGTTGTGAATATGTGATTTTTGTGGTGCTTCCTAAGACATGATCTAGAAGAAGAGGAAGAGAAGAGATTGGATTTATACCCCGCCCTTCACTACCCAAAGGTGTCTCAGAGCGGCTTACAAACTCCTTTCCCTTCCCCTCCCCACAACAGACACCCTGTGAGGTGGGTGGGGCTGAGAGAACTCTGACACAAACTGCTCTTTTTCAAGGACAGCTGTGCCAGAGCTTGTGACTGACCCAAGGTCACATCAGCAGGTGCAAGTGGAGGAGTGGGGAATCAAACCCAGTTCTCCCAGATTAGAGTCTGTGCACTTAACCACTGCACCAAACTGGCTACACCAAACTGGCTACACTATGACGGTGGTTTTATTTCATTTCAATATGAAAATCTTATGAAATCATGAGTGATCCATGTTTTTGCACTGCTGCCACACAGCGAAGTGCTAGATCTGTGTTTTTTATGGCCCACTCCTTAGTCTTGGCTTCAATGTGTTATTTCATACTGGATTTGGTGGCATTCTGTATAAAAAAGTAGAGGATCTGTGTAGATCTGGCTTTTACATTTGTCCAATATTGTCTACTCAGACTGGCAGCAGCTCTCCAACAGAGGTCTTTCAAATTACCTACTACCTGACCCTTTTAACTGGGGATGCCAGGGAATGAACTTTGGACCTTCTGCATGCCAAGCAGCGGGTTCTACCACCACCACCACCCCATGAGCCACAGCCCATCCCCAAATGTCCCAGCAGGACTGACGGGGCCTTGAAATATTACATTTAGGCATGCACCTAACTTTTTTAAACAGTACGCCTAAAAAACACAAAGCCCGAATACAACAAAAGAGATGCCGAGGGAGACGGCTCACACGCACGTGTTCATCGCCTGTTGACCTGGGGGTAGACCACAGCTTTCATATAGTATTTTTTAATAAAGTCAGCTCCTACATTTTTGTAAGTTACTCAAAGGCTGAGTAACCTACAAAAGCAAAAATCAACTGATACGCCAGCACACAGAAAAGCCCACGGCGTCGAGCGCACTACGAGCCCCGCTTGTGTTGCTGTTGCACCAGGTCCTACTCGTCCCCCCTCCCGCTCGCTCGCTCACACCCCCAATACCTTCTCCCGATCGATGGGCTTCTCCGGTTCTTTCTTAATCTCCTCCTGAGTAACGCGAGACTCCACCGCCATCTTCCCGCCCGTTGGCCCTACTCCCCGTGAGGACGTCGCAGACGAAGAGAAGAAGCCGGGTTAGTACCTCCGCGAAGGGACTGGGCCTTCCTCCGCCCGGCCCTTTCTTCAGCCCCGCCGAGCCTACCGCCACTTCCGCCTTTCCCCCCCCCCCGGACCCGCCGAGAACTCCGAGTTGCTATTCTCCCCGAAACAAGATGGCGGCGCCCATTGCCGTCGGTTTGCCGTGGAGCTGTGAGGGTCGCCTTCGCTGTAAGGACGGTTCTCTCGCGAGATCACAAGCTAAATCCTCACGAGAAGTTAAGATCGTATTTCAAAGTTGGGGGAATGGAGGGGGAGGGAAATAATGATTTGCTGCTCTGTGGAGGGATTCTGAACAGGCTCCCACTTTGGTGACTCTGGCCCATATTAGTTTGAGGATTAAAATCCTCACGTTATGTATATACGCGTGTTTAAACGTGTACCTGGGAAGAACCCTGCCCCAATCAGGTGTCACGTCCACTGCTTACCAGTGTCTCCTGCAGTAATCGTTTTGATTGCAGTTGCCTTTTATAGGGTTGCCAGCCTCCAGGTGGCACATTAAGCGACACACCCCTAATGTAGCCAATCCTCCAAGAGCTTACAGTAGCTCCTGTAAGAAGAGCTCTGTAAACTCTTGGATTGGCTACATTAGGGGTGTGTGGCCTAATATGCAAAGGAGTTCCTGTTACAAAAAGAGCCCTGAGTTTCCCTGGAGAAAGCGGTTGCTTTGGAGGGTGGATTCTATGGCATTATACCCTGCTGAGGTCTCTCCCCTCCCCAAACCTCGCCCTCCCTAGGCTCCACCCCCAAATCTCCAGGTGTTTCCCAACCCAGACCAGGCAACCCTATTTGCTAATCCCAGGGATCTAGTAAGGACGAACTAAAATTATTCCAACATGAGTCACAGTTCACTTCATCAGATCTGTAGTGTCTATCCAAAATACAAATTTAGCAGCTTGGAATGGATACTCCTATGTATTTGTTCTAGAAAGTTTACGCTGAAATTACACCTGGTAGTCTTTAAAGTGATACTGGACTCGCTCTAATTGTGTGGCCTGTATAAGGGAAATCCCCGCCTTCCCAGTTTAAAGCATTATGGCCTACTATACTGTGTTGTGTGAATTAGCAAAAGAATGACCTGCTTTGAACACTTGAAAATGCACTCTGTCAATAAGCAATATTACTGATTGTGGTGGTCTGTTTTATTTGGTCCACAGTATGTCATGTGCCTATTGATCTGCTGCTTTCATATATGATCGTAGTTTGGCCTCTTCCACCAGTGCTGAGTCAGTAGTTCCCCTGGATCAGCAATCATCTTTTGGAAACCAAATATCACAAGCTGAATCAAAGCAAGGAAAGGGCTACGACAATTCAGCATCCATTCAGGAAACACTGTGTCAGGAAATCTGTTGTTCAGTAGTCTGGTGAGGATAAAACCAGCTGTTATTTAAAAAAATACAAAAAATGTTTGTACTGACATGTTTCTAGCTGCATTCTTTCTCAAGGGTTGTTAAAATAGTTGTGGACAGGACAACACAACAACGAGCTTGCATGTGCATATAGCTTTCAAGATTTCCTGTACCAAAAATATCATGTTTGAATGCATTTAAATGCTCTAATAATATCTGCATAATCTCCAGTATTTTTACCCAGAGACATACAGTCTCAATAAAATATCATATATATACAAAAAGAAAATAGCCCCATATCACTTTTCAAGAAGCAAAATGATACTTGAACATTGTTTTCCATATCTGTTAGAATTTATTGAGACTATATGTCTCTTAGTAAAAATAAAAGAGATTATGCTGATATTATTAGAGGATTTGCATGTTAAAAAGACTGTTAGGCTCCAGTCCCATCTATTATGCACTTCACAAGTTTGCCAGGTCTTTGGCAACCTTTAGAAGAATTGAGACACCAAAAGAGAAGCAGCCAAACCTGTACTTGACATGTTTGAGGTGAATTATCTTTAGGTAAAATTTGCACCCTGTTTACCACCATTAGCTACGTTTCACATAAAACAGAACAGAAAAAGGGAAGGGAGTGGTCTTAGCCAACAAGAACCATAAAGCCAACTGTAGTGCCCTCTAAACCTTGTTCAGCCTGTGTTTCTTTCGGGATTTTCAAAACGTGGTGGGTACCACCACAAAATGGCTGCTAGTTACTACTAAGTGGCTGTTAAGGGGGGGGGGGCTGGGCTGCAGTCAATCACAAAATGTTGGGAGATTCCAAGCCAATGGTTGTTCTATGAGGGAGGCTGGTAGCCGTTTCCTAAAGGATGCTCCCTGCAGACACACAAAGGTGATGTCTACTGGGCTCTTCTGAAGTACCTCCTGCTTCGGTGATGCTGGGAAGCATCTCTGCTTTGAGGCAGAAGGAAGTGGGCAACAAGGAAACAGTGCAGAGTGACTGCAAATGCCATGTTGAGGATTGCTGCTCTAAAGTGAAAGACAAGAGCAGCCTGGCAAGGAGAAGCTGAGGAGTCTGGCGCTTTTTTAAAATTTAGAGAATAGACAACTAAGAAATTTGATGAAGGTTTATAAAATTACACGTGGTTGTGGTGAAAGTAGATGGAACTTTTTCTCTGGGTCCTATCATACTATTTATTTATTTATTTATTTGATTTTTATCCCGCCCTCCCGCCGAAGTGGCTCAGGGCGGCTTACAACATTAAAACCAATAAAACAATGCCTCTAAAACAATCTATAATAGTACAATAAAATCGCTATTTACACACAGTACAACATACCCATGGCGGCAACTATAAAGTGCAATCATGCTTAGTCTGAGTTGTTAAATGCTTGACGGAATACTAGAATTTGTGGGCATTCAGTGAAACTGATGGGCAGTAGATTCAGGACACATTTGGTAAAATTAGCACTTCACACAATTTTGGAAATCACTGCCACAGAATGTGGTGGCAGCTGGAAGTTTAGATGGCATTAAACTGGGGTTGACATGGGCAGGCCTGTAGCCAGGATTTTTTTGTTCAGGGGGCATTTAACTTTTCAAAGGGGAAGTTAAAGTTAATTAAATTGCTCTGGACACCTGTCTTTAAAGGGGGAGGCTCCAAGCCTGTTTCTAGCCCTTCCTTTCATTTTTTCCCAGCCTTGCACAACCCCAGGAAAGCGTCAAAGGCACCGGAGGAAAGGGAGGGAGTTTCAAAGCAGCTGAGTGCCAAGGTTGCCCCTCTTCATTCCCCCTGCCTTAGAATAGGCTATCCCGTTTGTTTCAAGGGGGAGCCAGAGAAAGTGCTGCAGTGAACTTAGGAGGAGTCAGAGGAAAGAGGGGAAAGAATGGTGTGATGTATTCTCATCAAACTTTGTAAAGGACTGGGGTGGGGAGGGTGGATCTGGTCGCTTTTCTGTCTTCTCCAAG